AGGTTGAGCCCTACAGCCGCCGTTTCGTTGATGACAACAATGCCATGGCGATCTGCGTACTCCAGCACCTCTTCGGCATAAGGGTAATGGGAGCACCTGAAAGAGTTTGCGCCCATCCACTTCATGAGCTCAAAGTCGTGGATCATGTAGGCAGGGTCGAAACCTTTCGCTCGGATTGGGGTATCTTCGTGCTTCCCAAACCCTGTGAAATAGAACGGTTTCCTATTGATCAGGAACTTGTTGCCGGAGACTTCCACTGACCTCACTCCGAACGGAAGATCATACGTATCGAGAACTTCCCCGTCAGGCTTGGTGGTAATCTTGACCCGGAGCTTGTACAAATATGCTGCGCCAGGTTGCCATAGATGTACGGGATCGATGGTGACACTTCCCTCTGACTGAGATGCTTGGTGCACAACATGGGCATCCTCGTCAATTATTTGAACGAGAAATTCTGCTTCCTTGAGATCTGAGTTGGATTCAACTTTAAAGTTCACTGTTCCGGATTTTCCTCCATCCGCAAGTTGGGTTGTGACCGTCAAGTCTTTGATGAAGACTTCGGGAACAGTGTACAGCCACACTGACCGGGCCAATCCTGCGTAGTTGAAGAAATCATGTTGGTAGTGCTGCTTCCGTCGACCATTTTTGAGAACCTCGATCCTACCAGGTGGTATTGTCTGCCAGCTCAACTCGTTGTTTACAGCGACTGTTAAGCGGCATGAGTGGCCAGGCTTGACGAGCTGGCTAATATCAACCTCGAATGGCGTGTAGCCCCCGTTGTGCTCGGCAACAAGCTGGTCGTCGATGTATACACACCCCTGATGAGTAGCCGCGTCAAGCCGGATAAAATATCGTCGCTTTGCCCATGAAGCAGGCACAGTTATTTCCCTTTGATAGTATGCCCAGCCGACATGATCCCGGAACTTTGAGTCAACGAAGATATCATTGTAGCTGGCTGGGACAGGCACTTGAAGCGTCGATGGAATGGTTCTTTTCCATACTTGCTCGCTTTCAATACCATTGGCAGACTTTTCTAATTCAAAGTTCCATATCCCGTCCAAGGAGACGAGGTCGCGTATAGCGTTGGCCTGCGGTTTGAGCATCTTTGTGTGTGAGGGAAATCTCGGACTCTGATTGAGCAAATCCGACTAGACAACGGAAGAAAAACCAACAAATTATATTACATTATTCAATACGAATGTCATCGTCATGAGCCATTTGATCAACTTGCCTCCAGTGTCCAGGGTCGCCACAGGGGGTGGGTACACGGAAACCGGCGTCGGTGTCGGAAGTCCAGCCCGCAACGTCGCCTTACTGGCGTGAGTCTACGCATCCAGAGCCGAGGACCACTGCGTTGTAGTTTACCTAGTAAACTGATACCGAATATCCTGAATCCCCTGCCCCGGTCATTGGATACCCACATGCACCTCTTTCTCTAGTATGGTTCTGTGCTCTCAAACCATGTGACTTTGTCGACATCCCACCGGCTTGGTTTGGGTAACCTAAGAGCAGGGATACCTTCGGCCTTGAAATCGGTATTGCCCCTAGCAACTTCGAGATCAGGGCATGATTTGTTTCGTGGGATTATCTAGAGCACTGTTGCTAGCCTCCTCACGATGGAGATGATGCACCGGTGAATGGGTCGGATCTGCTTCTATGCTTGATGGTGTAAAGTGAAATGTTGCAGTCATCTAGGAAGATCCCGGGCTTTCATATCAACTCCGTGGTATAATGAAAGAAAATGAACCCATCGTATCACATGATTGTCCTGACCAGCGTACCCAACTCATTATTCGATCTGAACCAGATATCTACTTGAGCGAGCGCTGACCAAGCCGATCGTACAATTTGGGTGCCCAAAGAAATCAGAACCCAAAAAGGAAATATCATTCTCCCCGGTAGTTATTTGTCCTTCCATCTTGCAACCTACTGGGGATGCTAGAAGCTGAAGGTACATGTCATGCGGCTGGTCTGACTGCGTCTCGATCTGCCCGCCGCGAGTCATTAAGGGATCGCGGCATCAACCTCCACCTACGTCTACCGTAGATTAACAAGAGAATCTCCATTGAATAACCGAGATGTGGACTGATCTATCTGCAAATATTGACAAAATCTGTTCAGCATTGGCTTGTATGGCTTCCTCCGACTGGCTCGGTATGGGGCCCAGTCGGCCGGTACCTTTCCCGTCTCCGGCCACACTAGATGGAGGCAGCTTAGCTGTTTTCCACCCATGAATTGCCTCGTAAGATCTCCCACACATGGCAAGCATGTGGAGAGGAAACCCGGTAATGAGCACGTCCAGAACATGTTGGACAACCCAGTAACTCCCCCAGCTCTCTCCACGCCGAACTTGAGCCGTCTCCACGTCCCCAAGTTGTGGGACAGACTTGCGGGGAGGAGAAACCAGCCGAGTCACACGCGCCTTGAAGCTGAGAAAAAAGCCGGGATTGTCTGAACAGTAGAAGGGAACTCGACAGCCGTGATCGATCCCCACTCCCTCTCCTCCCATGACATTCAGTATATAAGACTCCCCTTGCTCGATATTCTAGCCTCATATCCTCTTCAGCAAGTTCCAAGCGGCTCTTTACTCATACTCGGACGGAAACTCTTCTCCACTGTTCAACGACATGACCAATTCACGCCCTGGCTCTCGCGACGCAGAGTCGCCTTCCCTGGCCCCGAAGGTGGCTAAAGAAGATGTGACACAAGTTGAGACCCTGGACGAAAAGACCACTGAGCGTCCGTCTGTCATCTCCGACTTCGCAACTTGGGATCGAGCAAGATGCATGAAAACCTTTTGGCGACTCTACTTGACAGGAGTTGGTGTATCTCTTTGCGGAATGTGAGTCTCCCCCAAGCTGACCTACACGTACAAAGAGAGTGTGTTATTAACATCAATCGCGCAGGTATGCTGGTTATGCCAACTCTGTCATCGGTAGCATCGTGGCCAACAAAGGCTTCATTGAACAATTCGCAACAGCCAAAGATCCCGTGACTGGTCAGAAAGCTCTCGAGCCAAATCACATCTCGCTCTGGGCTGCTGGATACTTCATCACAACAATCGCAATTCAAACAGTTGCCCCGAATACGGCCGATCGCTTCGGTCGTAAATTCAACATGTGGGCCGTCACGTTCTTCCTGACAACTGTATGTTTGTGCCTGTAGTTGATTTTTACAGTCGTTTTCCTATTGTATTCACTGACCGCTCAAATTGCTTTACAGTCAATCATTATTCAGGTCTTCGCCCCAAACTGGTGGGTGTTGTTGATTGCACGCCTGATCGCCGGATGCGCTGGTGGCATGATGGGAACTTCAGTCATGGTGTACTTGTCCGAGGTCGCGATGCCCCAATTTCGTGGCGCTCTGCTCGGGAGTTTCTCATTGGCTTTTGCGCTTGGTCAGGTCTTTCTGGCCATTGCCCTGAAGATTCTCGAGGTCACCTCGCCTTTGGCTTTCCGCAACGCCTTCTACTCCGAGTTCGTCTTCACAGGGCTATGGCTTATTCCTATGCTGTATCTCCCCGAATCCCCAGGTACGTTGTCACCCCACTCAACTGTTATGATAGATCTGGTTTCTGACAGACTGGTAGCATGGTATGCCGCCAAAGGAAGGCACGAAGAAGGTAAAAAGGCTCTTCGTAAGCTCGTCGGAAATGTCCAAGGGTACAGACTCGACAACGAATATGCCGTCATCCAGCAAGAGGTAGAGGAGTCACAAGCCCGGGCTAAGGCTCTTGGTACCTCCGACTGGAAAGCTGTTGTTTGCAACAGAAGCAACCTCAAGCGTGCAGTCATTTCCAGTCTGCCCTTTACTTTCCAGAACATCGTCGGTGTCCCGTTGATGTTTGGCTATACCACCTACTTCTTCCAGCTGGCAGGTGTCTCTGACCCTTTCTTGGGTAATATGGTCAAGCAGATGGTTCTCGTCGTGGGCATTATCATAGGATTCTACACCATTGACAAGGTCGGCCGAAGGACGCTTGTTATCGGCGGCGGCTCCATGATGGCCGTTCTCAGCGCAATCGTCGGTGGACTTGGATTTATTAAACAGAACTCAGCGTCTGGTGCGGCCCTCGTTGCGCTTTGCTCGCTTTGGGCCTTCGTGTATGCAAACTCACTTGCGCCAATTGGTAGGGACTTTCTACTTCGTGAGCTATTGAAGTTTACTTCTGAACAATGCTAATTACATCTACCAATAGGTTGGATCAGTCTCGTCGAAATCTCAAGCCCACAGCTCCGGGCTAAGACAACATCTCTTGCCGTTACGATTCAATATCTCACTGGAATCATTTTTGTAAGCGCAGTTACGTTCAAACTTCCGCACTAGCTTTGGCTGACCATTCGTGCTTCTAGAATTACTGCGTGCCATTGATGTTGTCCAATCAATATGCTGGCTGGGGCCAGAAGACTGGATTGTTTTTCGCCGGCCTTACGGTAATCTATCTGATTCCTGTTATCTTTTGGTTCCCAGAGACCAAGGGCCGCACTTATGCCGAGTTGGATGAGCTATTTGAGATGCGTATTCCTGCCTGGAGATTTGCCTCAACAAAGACTACTCACCAGACAGAAGTTGAAGCTAAAGCCCAAGAGGAGAAGTAAATGTCGATGGCGAGTTAAGAGGATATCTGGATGAATTAAGCGGCTATGTACCATATATTCTCGGTAGGTTGGCTCGAGATAAGCCCCAAAAGCAGCTGGCAGAAAAGAAGGCGATCCAAGACCAAGGACTAAGGGCTCTAGCATAATCTTTAAATAATCAACACATTAAACAATAACTATGAAGGCACTCAATTGCAAATTGTCTTCAACAAGCTTTATATATTGATAGTGGAAAAAAAAAGAGAAGATAGATGGAGGTAGTCTTCTAACAGTGGAACATGCCTGGCATGAGTCTAAACTTCTAATTAGGGGAATAAAAATTCAGCACCAAATTTCTTTCAATGTCTATATGTCCTGACTAGAAAAGTTTAATTGTTTCTAACTACCCAAGGCCAATTGCAATCAAAGCTTTGGCTCATAATTCTTAGGCGTATGAGAGGCCTCTCTGCCCTCCTTGGGAAGCTGCCAATACTTTTCATATAAATCGAGCGCTCCGGGGTTGGCGATGGTGCCACTCGCGACAGACTTTCGCCCATTGACTATGTTCTTGACGTTGATTTCGCACTTCTTACCATTCACGGTGTAAGGAATGTCCGCCACTTCAAAGATGAACTTGGGAACATGTCGTGGCGAATATCGATCTCGGATAGCGCCACTTATCCTCTGGGCAAGACCTGTGTCAAGCCTGGATCCTGACTTCATCTTGATGAACAATAGAACGCGTTCATCCGCATCAAACTCGCGTTTCTGCCCTACACAAATGCTATCGGACAATTCTGGGAAGGTTTCCGTAACAGCGTAGATCTCAGCCGAGCCAAACCTGATGCCAGATGGGTTGAGGACGCCATCGCTAGAAATATCGCAGGTTAGCTAGTAACTAGAAACAGAGCAACCTCGAGGTTGAGAAAGACAATCTTACGATCGCCCAAGCATTACCAGCCCCCCAGTATCTGGAAGTTGCTTCACAAGGTCACCTTGGCACCAGATCGTCGTGCCATACCGCTCAAAATAGGACGATCGGTATCTCTCATTGCCGTCCTCTCCTAGAAAAGCGAGAGGCTGGCTCGGAAACGGCTCTGTGCATACTAGCTCACCGGCTTCGGCGCTGTTTCCAAGGGAAACAGGGTTAAGCTGTGTCGCATCAAAGATGTCCACTGCCATTCCCAAGGCCTTGCATTGGATCTCGCCAGCGTACACAGGGAGCAGAGGGGTCCCTCCTACGACTGTTGGGAAAGATGTTAGCGCAGCTCGCTGATGTCATTGTAGAAACACGCACAGCAGCCAGCAATATCTGTCCCTCCACTCATGGAGCATAACAGCACGCTTGGGGGGAAAGCCTTGGAGTAGAACCAGCGATAAATATCCTCAGATAGGATGGAACCCGTAGAGGTCACAACACGCAATTTGCTGAGGTTAAAGCTTTTGTCTGTATGGAATAGTCAGCTGGTTAAGCACGCCTATTGAAAGGAGATTATCCACGCACAGGGGATGATACCATGGTCTCGTAATTCGGTTAGATAACGTGGAGAGGTGCCGAACACCCCAACTCTATGAAACTCTTAGCTTTTTTCTTTAAGCCCAATGGAAAAGCAGACCTTGACCTACCCTGTCTTCTCGGCAAGCTCTAGAAGTATTGTTGGCCTAGGATGGAATGGGGAGCCATCGTATAGGAGCATAGAGGAGGCGCACGAAAGATTAAGCAGATTCAAAACCCACATGACCCAAGATGTCTATCATCTTGATGTTAATGTAGGTATTCATGAGTGGGGCTGTCTTATCACAAGAGACCTACTGTTGTGTATTGAAAAACCGTGTCTGTATTTCTAACATCGTGCTGAAGTGTGTAATCTGTCTTGATCTTTAAAGCCGCGCCCTACAATCAAACGTACGTTAGATCTGGCGAAATGAGTTAATCGTATCCGACTTACCCCAGTACTATGAACTATACATTTCGGCTTCCCAGTCTATAAAGCGCCGTTAGATCGCAATACATGCGAACCCAGGGTTAGTGAGGGAGCTCACCGTTCCTGAAGAGAAGAGTATAAATGCAGGATGTGAGAACGGAACTAGCTTGAAGTTCAGTTGCTCCCCAGTATCTCGTTGCAAGAACGACTGCATGGTGCATCCCAGATGAATCTCCTCAAGGGCGACGGGGACATTGCAATATGGAATTAAAACCACATTTTTAAGAGTTTGGTCGCAGTCCAGTTGATGAGACCAATCCACGATGCGGTCACCGAGCTTGATAGTTTTCCCTGCGTAGGTGTAGCCATTATCGGCAAACACCAATTTCGGGCTGATTTGCCTGTATCGGTCTACGATACCCGTGCTCCCTAGATCACATGAGGACGAGGACCACACAGCGCCTAGAGAGAGGGCAGCTAGACAAATTGCCATTGCATCAACCGAGTTCGAGATGACGGCTGCCACAACATCATTCTTGACAACTCCTGAATTTACCATAGCGCTGCGGATCGCACGAATACGCTCTTTCAAAGATTTCCATGTAACAGGCTCAATACCAGAGATGCCCTCACGGGCAAAGTGGATGGCTACTTCGTTGTCTGCTCGACCGCGCAGTATGTTCTCCGTAATGTTGAGTAAGCTCGCGGGAAAGAATTCTGCAGGGGGGAACATACCCCCTTTGGCCGAGTTCTGGATAAGCAAGTTAGCCAATATACTGTCTACTATTTGTCGACTGATTCGACTTGTGGGTTATTAAGCGTTGTACTGACCGAATGTCCGAGCATGCGATGGACATGCTGGGAATCTGGAGGAGGCAGTTCAAGCCAAATGAAAGCGTCTTCCCAGAAGGTTTGGATGGATGCCTTAGCCGTTGACCAGCGATGCAATTCATGGTAAGTTTGGAGCGCAAGGCCATGCTTTTGGTTGATATAGCTGATAAACTTGGCGGCGTTGGTTTCGGAGATGCTTTGAGGGTTGGGCAACCACAAAGGCTCCTTCTTTTGAATAGAAGCCATGGTGTCTCAATAAGGAACACCAGCACTGGCTCTAGGAAGATAAAGAAGCCAGCTTTCTATTCATGAAATGTGTTAGAATTGATATAGATGCCCCAATATCTCTATCTAGAATTCACTGCCTGTAGCCTGCCCTGGGGCCGATTCGGGCCGGCCTTAGCCGAGGCCGTATCGGCTTTCTACCAGGAACAGAAATTCCGGTTAACGTTTAGGCCACCATTTAGCACTTCATATCATAAAGCCTAGATTACACATATTCGGAACATTTATTTCTATGGGATGAATAATTTCTTCAAGGCATGATACTTGGTCTTTGTAAAGATAAAAGATTATTTGCGTGTTGTTTTATGTGGTCAATTTCTCTCTTTTGAAATAATGCCCTCTGTTCCCTTCTATTGGTATCGTTAGGAAGGAACTTTGCCTCTAGAGACGCATGAAGACTTTTGAAAGGGAGAGTTAATCAGACTCATCTTTCAATCTTTTGATGACTTTTGACAGCTAGGATAGGTCCTACATGTCACTTTTTCTGATTAACTGATAGCAAAATAACGACATATAGCATTCAACTTTCTTCTACAGCTAGCCCGATTGCCACTTTTCTTCTTGGATATAGTTATTAGTATAACTAGGGATTGGGGATATTTCGCTTAAAACATATTATCTAACAAACTGGCTATTTAGCAAATTATATCAACGCCTCACTTTCCACCTCCTGTGTTTGGACGGCGAACATGCTTATCATGAACACAGATTCCAAGTCCCTGCTCTGCTCTCCTTGTCCGAAGCTACTATTTTCCATGGCCAGATGGGATACGATCCAGGACAAATGTGGTTTTAGCCATGGCACACTCTCTCCAGTACCAAACAAGGCACAGTGTAGCGCCGGGACCGATCGCGAGGCTTCCCAGAGTAATCAACGCAATAGCCTTGCCAATATGAACATTGGTTCTTCCGACTCTCTTGATATCCCAGATAGCCATGCATAGCCAGCCGTATGTGCCAATTTGAAAACCCCAGAAGTCTGCGAGAAAGAGCTGACGTAACCCCTCCCCTAGTTCTTTGGGCTCCGGTGAGAAGTCGGGCCAGAAGACTGAGGACAGAGTCATCTCCGTAGAGAACCGGATCTTGACGAGGAAATAGACATGTTGAAATACTCCAATGGAAGCCATAGAACCGTATAGGAACTTCAAATAAAGGAGATCTTTGAAAGCGTCGTTTAACTTGCGCGGCACAACCTTGGAGCTGTCCATTTTGGAACACAAGTATCCAAGGACGGCGCAGAGGAGCGGAGCAACGAAAGGGGATGGTTGCCACAAGGCTTCGAAGCTTTGCTGCAAAGTTGGATTGTTCCAGGGGTAAAACATGAGAATGGTAGGCACAATATATCCAAGTTGAGCCCAGACCACAGATACCGCATACTCAATGGGCACCACTCGATTGAGAGGCCACCAATAGGTCTCAGGCTCAGACACAAGCGTATAGGAGGCGTAGTATATCGGCATCCAGGTGCCGATGCCAGCACATTGAGTGACCGTGAGGAACATAACAAGCCTATCGCGCAAAATGTGATAAGTATATAATATTTCATGTGCAAGATTAATATCACTTACGGCCATAGTGAAAGTAGTGTCAGCTTGTTGCGGATGCGGAAGGCTTTGACCGTCTACACTGTAATAGGCTGGATTAGGCCAAAGAGGAAATACCTTGATAGGGTTCCGTAATTCAGATCCCACTTATTGATGCCTGGAATGAAGATTGCCGTGAGGAATTGTAGGTATTCATCAATGGGGCCAATGCCTGTAAATCTGCGCTGTAGTTCAAACTGAGGATGTCCGTCGAAGCTCCCTGACTCGATGATAGATATAAGATGTGGACCGAGCTCATAATGCGCCGACCAAATCCACATGCCGTAGTGTACCAGAGCAGCAACAGCAAGATAGAAGCTAACCCACAGCCACTTCTTGACGCCTCGTGGAGTGGGTGTACTTATAAGCTCGTCCTTGTAAGGAACAAGCTTTGCTTGGTGCTTGGGCTTGGGGAAATCTAGCCTCTCTGCTAACGGGAGGTTGCGGGAGAAATTAAAAGTGACATCTTCCTTATCCATCATTGGCAACACATAGTGAGCAATCAATTGATGTAATGGGGTGTCGAGGAGTTCGAGTCTTTGTTGTTCATGAGAGTGGCGTTTGAGAAGCGTAGCCCTGGCTTGACGGGCTTGCTGAGTTTTTGCGAAGAGGGCGTCGATATCATCCAGAGATGGCTTTGAGTTGTCTCTGCTATCTCGGCCGAGTAGCTCAACAAGACCGTTGACCAAGGTGGCGGCTGACTCGATGCAGGCATTGCCTCCATGGCCAGTAATAGGGTGCATCTGTCCGATCATTTAGCATTGTAATCGGTGTAGCGACTGCGCGCTGACTTCTGAAGTGGATGTTCACCTTATGCGCGGAGTCACCGATAGTGATGATGCGCTTGTAATGCCACTGGCGGAATACATATTCCTGCAAGGGAACAAGGACAGAGGATATCTTCTTGTTGAGGAGGTCTTTGAATTTCAAGCTTGATGTTATGTTGTTGTTCTCTGCCTCCTTAAGCACCTGATCATGGTCTTGCTCGGAGTACTTGGGGATGTCGTCCCCATGTAGTCGTGTGGGCAGCTTAAAAAAGAAAAACCAATAGACTCGGCCCTTTGGACCACCTATAACTATGTATGACTGGTGCTTCCGGAAGATTGAGTTGAATGCCCCTGATTCAACACCTGGACAAGGATTGGAGATGCCGAAGACGCACCCGAAGTCACAAGGAACACCTAGCCGCGAGGGCTTCCAGTCAGAACATCAAAGGCGAAAGATACCATCAAAGAGGAACACACTCACTCTGTTTCTCGTCGCTAGGGATCCATCCGGGACGCTCCGAATTGGCAATTCGCCACATCTCGCTGCGAACGGTGCTGTGAATGCCGTCACCACCAATCAGGATATCACCTTCATACGTGGAGCCATCAAGAGCTTTGACAATGACTCCGCGGTCTGTCATCTCTACCTCGTTAACACGCTTGCTGCTGAGAATCTTTGACTTGTCCTTGACGTTCTCATACAGGACCTTGAGTACCATTTGTCTGTCGAGGAATGTGATTGGATACCCGTGTCTACAGTGCAGCGTATTAGCATGAATACATAGATATAGTGAACCTATAGAGCTAAGACCGTTGTCCTCGGATAAAATGTATACCTTTCATGCATAGACCCTTTCATGCCTTTGAATTCGTGAATGATGTTGCCAGTATGATCACGGAAGTGCATTGAGTCTAGTGGTGGACATAATTCTAGGACTTTCTCATACAGACCAAGTTGATCTAGGATCCTATTGCCGTGAGGTAGCATACAAATACTGGCTCCCACCTGAGGTGTCATTTCGTGCCATGCCTCAAGCACCACAAAATCAATGCCGTGCAATTGAAGCATGTTGGCCAACGTTAGGCCGGTGATGCTGCCGCCGGCAATGACGACCTTGAAGCCGGATTTGTCTTTGGACCCCATGCTGAGTCCCGAGATTGTGCCACTGCCACCCAATAATTTGAAAAAGAATTCTTTGTTTCGATTAATTGAACTGCTTGCACGTGTATGTACAGACCGTAAACCCGAGCTGTACTTTCGTCGAGGACTATAAATATGTGAACGGACTAGATAGTCAGTCGGCTATCGTATTGTTTGCCAAAAGTACTCTTCAAGCGATCAGCATCTCCTTCCTTGTCCATTGCATTCGTCATGCGTGACAAAGACATTTGGGACGCTCGTCCAAAATCATCTACTGGCTATTGGACCCCTACATGTGAGCAAGAATAATGCGTAGTGACCTCGGTGATAGGGACACGGAGATGACGGGCCGTAGACGGCTCGGCTAAAGCAATGTCACTCAAGTTGTTCTCGTATGCTCAGTATGCTAGGATTCGTAAGATTTCGCAAGTCTGCAGTACGAATGATAGTTATGCCGGCCAGTCATGAAGTTGATATGCGCGTCGGAGTATGGTGAATTTTGGTACGGATATCTACACCGGTCATTGTACTAACGGATGAATAAATTTGTCTCGACCACGCGTAGTATTGGAAGTAGAATATAGTGTCGACAAATCAAGCTTCCTTGCTTGCTATTCGAGACTCTCATAAGGAGTTACAAGTAAGCACCCGGATTATAATTCAAAGAAGCATATCCTCCTTTCCTAGGACTCGTTGTTTTCCTTCCAACAATGGATCATCTGCTCAAGAAGAGTGTTGTCAGTCGTCGCTCGTTTACTTATGGTTATTATGTCTCACCCGGAGACAAGTCAGCCCCAGAACGCCCGGCACTAATTTTCATTCATGGCTGGCCGGATTCTGCCTACTTGTGGAGCGAGATATCCAAGGGCCTTAGCGACCTCCCAAACAAGTTGGTATTCATTGACTGCTTGGGCTACGCTTCTACCGACAAACCCCAACAGACAAGTTCCTACTCCTTTCAAGGGCAAGCTGATGATGTTGTTGACATCCTTCGAAATGAAGATGTGAAGTCTGCTATTGTTGTCGGACACGACTGGGGCAGTGTATTGGCACAACGAGTCTTCCTACACCATCGTGAACTGTTCATTGGTGTTGTGCTCGTGAATGCTGGGTACATGGTACCCACAGATCAGCCATTTGACCTCGAGGCAGTCAACAAGTTTACGAAGGGGGCAATAGGCCACCCGCAGTTCGCATATTGGGACTTCTTCGTCAACGAAGAAGCTGCATCTGTCATGGACCCTAGGTTGGAGCGGGTGTGGCAGGTCCTTCACGGGCATGGTGACGACTGGTTAAAAAGTAACTTTTGCACTCCAGGGGCTATGCGCATATTTCTTGAGGGGAAAGAAGATGTGCCGTTGAAGCCATATGCGCAGAACCCAAAGTGGCGAGATCACTGGATTGAGCAGTTCAAACAGGACGGAATGGACTCAACATTCTTCATGTACAGGGCGATGGTCACCGGTGTGCAGAGTCGATCGGATTTGGACCTTGTGAAGGGAAATCTGGCCATCGATGTCCCTCTACTGTTTATCTTCTGCTCCAAAGACACTCTTTGCCCCGCATCAATGATGTCACAGGCAAAGCAGGAGAACTTGGTTCCCAAGCTCACAGAGGTCGAGGTCGATGCTGCGCACTGGTCTCCCATGGAGAAGCCTCATGAATTGGTTCGACACATTAAGGAGTTTATGAAGGATGCTCTTTAGATGGCAAGAATTGACTTGGAACGTGTAAAAACCATTCTGTGTCACGGCTTTTTGGGGTAAAAACTGCAAGAAGAATGAATGAAGCCATAGTTTCTAAACCAGATAGTCTCTTCTGAAAAAATGTAGGTATTTGTCTGGTATGCATTCTCGTGGAGAAAGAATGCGTGTATACACAGCTGATTCCATTCTTATCGTCATAACTTAAATATATTCAGTGGAAACAACTACCATAGCTGTCAGAAGCCAGTAAGCGTATTTCATATGTTGCATTGTTTCTTTATGTTGAAGCAAAGGCGTTACATGAGGGAGGTGGTACTAGTCCTGAGAACCACAGTTCTAATGCTGTTGTACATAAATCGCAGAAGACTATATAGAAAGTCTTGTCTCAAGACCCGCCCGGTATTAGCTTTTTCTTAAAATATGTACAAAAAGAGCTATGTCACTGATATCTTGCGATTATCAAAGAAGACGGAGAATGTCCCCTTACCATGACGAGATTTGCCGAAGTGCCATGTTTTCTCACGCCTTCTCCAGAGTTAAGCATGTCATGTGACATATGAATTTGGCGGCGGATCTTTAAGTCTAGATCCGTAGCCGAGACCGGGCTTCATTCACCTCGGGCTTTTCAGCGTAGGCCTTGTGGCAATCTGCTTATTATTGATCGCCCCATTCTCCCCAAGTACGTTTTTGATAACCGAAAGACCGCCCCACGGGGTATAGCCTGGCATAGGCTTGGTTGTAGTATTCCTCCACGCGGGGAAATCGATAGACTGACTCCCCAACGGCCTGAGATGCCACTCACCCGTGCAGAGGAAGTTGAGCATCCCCATTAGCATGATTAGCCAAGCTCAGCCCACCTCGGCCATCCCCGCATTATCTCATCGGTAGCAGCGGGTCCGATTTCCGAATATTGGGGTCTCAGTGGGCGAGCCTATGGAAAAGGGGGTGTATGTAATGCGTCGCTAAAATGGGCACGAGTCCACGAACATGAATATCCAGCCTCCGTAGTGTAATGAACTGACTATAATCCTGTCTTCTATCCTCGGCAGGCGTGTTCGAGGACATTTCTTTAGTCTCTTCAAACCTTAATTCCAGGCCAGACTTCAACGAAGCCCACAACAAGAGCGATGGCTGTTTCAAAACCAGATTATGATGCTGTAGTGATCGGAGCCGGCTTCAGTGGCATCCGATCTCTCTGGGAGCTCACCCAAAATGGCCTGACTGCTCAATGCTTCGAGGCTGGATCTGATGTTGGGGGAGCGTGGTATTGGAACCGCTATCCGGGGGCCCGAACCGACAGCGAGGCGTGGGCTTATGCTCTAAATTTTGCCCCCGAAGTGGTGAATCAGTGGAAGTATTCGGAGCGTTATCCGTCCCAGCAAGAAGTTCAGGGTTACATTCGTCGAATTGCGGGTAAGTGAACATGAACTCTTCCATGTGTCTGAGTCGTCACTAAACTATCGCAGCGCACTACGACCTGCTAAGGCACATTCGATTCGATACACTTGTGGTGTCAGCTCATTTCAACGAAATGGACAATCTCTGGACTATCACTGATAAAACCGGCAAGGCTACAACATGTCGTTACTTTATCCCAGCAACTGGCCCGCTCTCGATTGCCAAAAAGCCGCCCTTTGCGGGTCTTGACTCTTACAAGGGCGAAGTGTACCAGGCGTCATCGTGGCCCAAGCAGAATGTGGACATTCGCGGGAAACGAGTTGCTGTGATTGGTACCGGTGCGACTGGTGTTCAGATTATCCCCAAGATCGCAAGGGTTGCCAAGCAGGTGACTGTATTTCAACGGACGCCAAACTATGTGCTCCCTGGCCGTAACTACTTTATCGATGATCATGAGGCGGATGAGATCAAGCAGAAGTATGACGATACTTTAAAAAAGGCCTCGGGGCATCCTTTTGGCCTCGCTATGGACTTCACAGGAAAGACTGCCGATAAAATAACCGACGCCAAGGACATCAGGCAGACCCTTGACAGCGGCTGGGAGACTGGAGGCTTCCACTACATGTTTGAGACTTTCGACGACCTTTTCACCAATGCTGAATCCAATGCCAATGCCTCAGAGTACATCCGTCAAAAGATTCGCGCTATTGTTCGTGATCCAGAGACGGCTGAGTTACTTTGCCCCCATTACCCTTTTCTCTCCAAGAGACCACCTTGCGGACATTTCTATTATGAGGCATACAACCGCCCGAACGTTCGTCTTGTCGACGTTTCTAAGCGGCAGATTGAGATGTATGAAAAAGGGATCCGCTTGGCAGATGGCGAAGAGCATGAGGTCGACATGATCATATGTGCTCTAGGCTATGATGCCGGCATAGGGGCTTTGAGTGAGATAGACGTGCGAGGGCTCAATAATAAGTCTCTTGGGGAGCTGTGGGCGACAAAGCTACAGACATTTGCCGGTGTCCTTGTTCCTGAATTCCCGAACATGTTCATGGTTTGTGGACCGCATATCCCTTTTGGTAACATGCCGGTCATTCTTGATGCACAAATGGATTGGATCGGTAAAACTATCCGCCATATGGAAGAGAACAAATTAGGGCGTATTGAAGTGCCTGAGAAGGCCGCTGATTCTTGGAGTGATCATGTTGAGGAGGCCTTCCAAGCCACGCTGTTTTCTCAAAGCGCCAAGGATGTTGGAGCTTGGTTTGTGGGAGGAAACAGCCCGCTGTTTTACTTTGGCGGTGTTGCGAACTGGATTTCATGGCTGGATAAGGAGAAGGAGGCGACCTGGTCAGAAATGCAGTTTACACAGCCAAGGGCAAAGCCATTGAATCATCTTTGAAACCTGCATCCTGATTGGAGTAGAGGTTCGTTTGAAGAGGGGATTATGGTTTGAATGGCATACTCTAATCCCAGGTAGTAGCAATATATCTAACGTCGTCTGGAAGATCGCGTAACAAGCTCATATGCCCCAGGATCCCATGTTGTAACCCTCCTTTAACTATGTATAATAACTGTCCTTCTAGATACTTTCCCCTTTTGTATGTCTCAACGACTAGCGCCTACACATTTCTGTACCAAATTATGGTCTACTTTGTTGCTTAACAGAGGTTATGATTTGCGATCTTGAACCAGGCAACATGCACTGGCACTGGTAAGCTATAGGTTAGGTAATTGCTTTGGTCAAATCTCAAATCTGGAAAGAAGGATAAGCCCTCCTACACAACGGAGTATTTTGTTCGCTTGTAATGTCCTAGGAAATCCTAATTTTGGCACCGGCATGGGATTTACTTCTTGGTGTGAGGTAAGACCGAGGGCCGGTCCGGATTTCCGAAGCACTGGAACCGCCGGCAATCGAGTTGTACCAACGGCGCGGCTATTTGCTAAACGCAATGTCCGATAGAGGCATAGGAGGATAATTGCGTAACCGAGGGGGAAATCTAGTTTGGCCGAAATCTATGTTGGGCATTATCGTACGTTTTTTTGCAAGCCGTGCAGTGGGATTTGCAATTGCTCCCATCAAGTATTGCGGAATCAAGTATCATATATCTGCTGACTTTGAAAGTCGCTGTGCTTAGATGAAACGTACATGTTGGACGTCACTTTTTGTTTCCTCTGAAAACCAATGAGAACATTTTGACCAATACTTTGATATACACGAGTTTAACCTGCAATTGAATCGCATAAACCACAAACATGGGTCCAGCAGCACCAACAACGAACGGAGACATGCAAATTAGAGAGCTCGATGTGTTAGTAATTGGAGCCGGTTTCGGTGGATGCTACAGCTTGCACAAACTTCGCAAGGCGGGCTTCAAAGTCCACGTCTACGAGGCAGGCACTTATCTTGGCGGCGTCTGGCATTGGAATAGGTATCCGGGAGCACGCGTCGACTCCGAAATACCATATTACCAATTTTCCCTGCCAGAGCTATGGCGCAAGTGGAATTGGACAGAGCGATTTCCTAGCGGTGACGAGCTGAGGCAGTACTTCAAGTTCGTCGACGAAAGGCTGGATCTGTCCAAGGACATCACCTTCGGCGCCAAGGTTATCCGCGGAGAGTTTGACCAAGCAGCTGCCAGGTGGACAGTTGAAACTGAAGTCGGTTGGAAAGCAACTTGCAAGTATCTGATCTGTGCGACTGGGAGCTCGTTCAAGCCGCACTATCCGGCCTTCAATAACTTGGATAAGTTCAAGGGCCAACTCATACACTCAACCGACTGGCCGGCGGATGCAGATCCAAACATTGATGGAAAGAGGGTTGCTGTGATTGGATCAGGCGCCACTGCAATCCAATGTTGCCAGGAAATCTCAAAGAGAGCAGAGCATATGACCACCTACATTCGCACTGCCAGTATCTCTCTGCCCATGGTCCAACGTCCCCTCGGCGAGCTTGAGCAGAGGATTGACAAGGCCACCTACGGGAGAATGTTCGACTATTGTCGGCAGACTGCAGCAGGTTTGGGCTACGATCGCAAATTTGGGAGTGTCTTTGAGCTCAGCGACGAGGAACGTGAGGAATTCTGGGAGGAACTGTGGTCTCGTGGCGGTTTCAACTTCAACCAAGCCAACTACCGCGACTTCCTTGTCGATAAAAAAGCAGGCGAACTGATGTATCAGTTCTGGGCTAAGAACACGCGCCCGCGAATCAAGAATCCTTCAAAGGCGGCCTTCCTGGTCCCCGAGAAGGCCCCTTTCCTCTTTGGCACCAAGAGGAGCAGCTTAGAACAAGACTACTATGAGTGCATGGACCGAGACAATGTTTCGATCGTTGATCTTAAAGCCAATCCTATTCAAGAATTCACCGAGAGGGGCATTATCACCCAAGATGGCCACGAAGAGCAATTTGACACTGTCGTCATGGCCACAGGCTTCGACGCTATGACTGGAAGTCTGACCAACATGAACATCAAGGGAACGGATGGTGTGACCTTCAAAGAACGTTGGAAGGATGGTGTATTTACTCATCTAGGTCTTTGCAGCAACGGATGTCCCAACATGTTTCTGATCTACGGGCCTCAAGGTATGTCGCACTTGCCACCTTTCCTCCATATATCAAAAAAGAGTCTGAGAAACTTACTGACGATATCTTAGCACCCACTGCCTTCACTAATGGGCCGGTATTCATCGAGAGTCAAGTCGAGGTTCTTCTCGAATTGCTCGAAAAGTTGGAAGTAGAAGGCGTGAATTCTATCGAGGCCACGCGGCCTGCTGAAGAACAGTGGAAGCAGGCCATTCAAGAGGACGCTGCCAGAACCTTGCTCCCATTGACAGACTCTTGGTACATGGGGGCAAACATCCCAGGGAAACCTCGAGAACAGCTCAACTACATGCGCGGAATTCAGGTATACATTTCCGAAGTCCGGGAGGCGTTGAAAGATTTGAAGGGATTCACTGTCGTTTACAAAACAGCTTAGTACGTAGTAGATTTAGCACTAAGTATTGAGTAACGCTGGAGAATAAACATTAATGTCTATAAGATTTACGAAAGAAATGTCAAGTTATAAGTCTTTGAGTAAAATTGTATTTGGGGAAAGGGATTAGATTAATAGCCGAGCTATTTTAGCTTGATACTGGTAAGAAGGGAGTTAGTTATGCTTTCAATATAAATAGCTTCGAACATTATAGAAAAGAAAATGTTACGTTGTTGTTATAGAAGTGGAACAATAACAATCTGTCTATCTGACTCTGAGCATATATCTAGGCATTCATGTTAATGAGCACGGTTTTTGGCTCCGTGAAGAGTCTCAAAGCATACTCTCCAAACTCTCTCCCGATACCACTTTGTTTCTTGCCTCCAAATGGCACTTGAATGTTTTGAACGCTAACGCAGTTAATTCCCACCACCCCAGCTTCGATGTTAGCTGACACACGGAGAGCTCGGGTAATGTCCTTTGTGAAAACGCCAGCCATAAGCCCGAATTCAGAGTCATTGGACAGCCTGACAACCTCTTCCTCGTCCTTGAACGTTTTGATAATGCTCACCGGCCCAAAGATCTCGTCTTTGTATACTTCAGCATCGTCTTTGGGATTTAGAAACATTGTTGGCTGGATAAAGCAACCGCTCTCCCCATGCCTCGCACCCCCAACGAGTAACTCCGCCTCTGATCGCTCTATTATTCCCTTGACGCGTTCGAGTTGGCCTTCATCAACTAGCGGCCCAAGCTTAACTGAGGGGTCTTGGGGATCCCCCAGGTCATCCGACGCGGCCTTCATCTTCTCTACATAGAGCTTGATGAACTTTTCAGCAATGCCCTCTTGGACATAGACCCTTGATGCAGCAACACAAAGCTGCCCACTTCGTGTTATTATTCCATTCACAGCCCAGGTGACGGCGTTGTCTAGATTTGCATCATCAAATACTACCGCTGGACTCTTACCACCAAGCTCCAAGGTAACCCGCTTTAAATTGCTTCTCGCGGCCATCTCTTGGATCTTTCGCCCTGTACCTACAGAGCCAGTGAAGCTTATCTTGCGAATTTTCATGTGCTCGGCGAGAAGTGCACCAGTTGAGCCTGGGCCGGTAATGACTTGTACCACACCTGGAGGGAACCCGGCCTTTTCAAAGAGGTGCGCAACGGCTAAAGAACCCAACGGTGTCTTTTCGCTAGGTTTGATAATGATTACATTGCCTGTTGCCAGTGCAGGAGCGCTCTTCAAGAAGAAAGTTGCTATGGGTGCATTGAATGGATTGACTGCTGCGCAAACTCCCAGCGGCTCATGTCGAACAAGTTTAACAAATCCTAGACGGTATGTGATTAGCCATAGCGGTCATATTTCGAAAGGCTCGTGTGCGAGAGCTTGAATATTGCTCATACCATCATCAGCTGGGAAGTAGTCGCCTTTTTGCTTGTCTGTCCACCCAGCATAGTAGATAAGACAGTTCCTGATGTAGCTTTTCTCACGAACTGGAGCCAGAGAAATGGGAATGCCAGAGGTGAGGGAATCCAACGTGAGGATCGGAGTGAGCTCCTCGTCGAGGATCGATACGAGCTTCAGCATGCACTCGGCTCTCTGGGTGGCGGTAAACTTGCTCCAAGGCCCCTTGAAAGCGTCCTCGGCGAACTTGACTGCTGCGTCGACATCTTTGGCGCCGGCAATGGGAACTTCAGATGTTACCACCGAATTATCCTTTGGATTCTTGAGAGTGTACGTATCTGTGGACTGAGCAGATACGTACTGGCCGTTCAGGTAGAGCTTGTTGAAACTCTTCGGGTCTAGGATTTTCTCGCTCATTGTGTTCACTGGCAATTGGTGATATTTCCGCCTGATTTCTCGCTTTTTCGGCGATACGAATAAGGGCAACGTTCTTTAAAGACGCAAGGTACAGCAAATCAGCGTTAACCGGCGAAGATGTTGTCGTAGAGTTAACCAGACGGTCATCTGCAGCCCGGCCCCGGATTTCCGGGCCGAGGTACTGAAACCAGAAAGGCGCTGCCGGCGAAGAAGACCGGGAATGAATGGGAGAAGTAAATGGGACCCACGGATCGGCTACTTCGTCTCTGGACTAATAAAACGTACGTGCTCAGTAGCCGGCTCTAAGAATACAGAGCAAAATCAAGTTCTTGTGACTCTTTGACCGCATTTACAGACAAACGCACGATATGGCAGACAAGATGGACATTTGGGCTTTGACAGCGTGGGATAAGCCTTTAGAAAAGATCTCACAAGAGATACCAACACCAACAGGAACTGAGGTTCTCATCAAAGTGTCCCATGTCGGCGTCTGCCACTCCGATTTACACTTTGCACAAGGTCATTATGACATGGGCGGGGGCAAGAAGTTCTATGTGAAAGATCGCGGTGCAAAACTTCCAGCTGCACTGGGCCACGAAATTCTTGGCCAAGTGGCTGCTACGGGACCTGAAGCGGCACACCTAGGTATTGGCACAAAGCAGATTGTGTATCCTTGGATTGGGTGCGGCGAATGCACTCGTTGCGGACAAGAGAATGACAATCTGTGTGCTGCTCAAAGGGGACTGGGAACGTTGAGGAATGGTGGATTCGCCGAGTACGTCTTGGTTCCACACTCCAAGTATCTCGTTGAACTAGGGGATCTTGACCCAGCCGTGGCATGTACATTTGGGTGCTCTGGTATAACGACTCTCAGTGCCGTGCGGAAGATTCTGCCCCTGCCCCCTAATGAGCCTATTCTGCTCATTGGAGCTGGAGGCCTAGGCCTGGCTGCCATCTCAGTCCTTAAGGCCTTCCGCCATGAAAACATTGTGTGCGCCGATGTTAACGATGAGAAATTGGCGGCTGCGACCAAGGCTGGTGCATCCGCAACCATCAACACCGCCAAGTCTGACTCACCAGTTGCCGAAATCCTAAAGGCAACCGGCGGGCCTCTCCTCGCCGTCATCGACTTTGTCAACAACACAGCTACAGCAACGATGGTTAACAAGCTTGTTGCAAAGGGAGCCAAATGGGTGCAGGTTGGTGTTATGGGAGGCACAGTTGAGCTGTCACTTGTCGGAAACATTTTCAAGGGGCTGACTATCTACTCCAATATCACTGGAAATCTTGAGGAGCTCAGAACATTAACAGAAATGGCCAAGCGGGGAGATCTCAGCTCAATAGCTATACAGAAGATTCCATGGGACTCGGTTAATGAAGCCATGGACTTGCTGAGAGCTGGCAAAGTCTCAGGGCGCATGGTACTTGTGAAGTAGTCACACAGTAGTTATAGTACATGTTACTTAGATGTAATGCAATTGTCCATTGCCTAATACATGATATCATAGCGCAGGTCCTAAGACATTAGTTTAGGGGAAATCGAAATAACCTCTTTTTATTTTTCGTATCAAGGACTGTGGATGGTTAAACTCTACGCTCTAACCTAGCTCGAGCTGTAGCAACAGCTTATAATCTAATTACTATTGTGGTCAGAAGACCTTACAAAAGCGGGGCACATAGTTTTTATCAAACTTCATATATACTTCAGCAGACTTTCGAAATTATAGAAATCTATCCTGATATAGTATATATTGTAGATTGATACTATGCCTAAAAGCTCAAACATTCCAACAGGCTTACCAGTGGTGACAGATGTCCGCGCTCGGCATCCTGTATTTTACTACCTAGGTATGTCCAGGAACACCCCTCATTGTACGACAGTTATGTATCTAGTATGTATTCCCAAGTCCCATTATGTAGAGGTACCTCAGACTTGCCTGCGCTCGACATTCTCGACTTCTTCATGCCCGCCGGGTTCCTTCGAATCGATTTCATTGATGACTTGCGCCTCATTGAGCTCACTCTGGAAGACCACAACATCTGACTCGTCGCCGAAAAGGACCGCGATCTCCTCAAGCGGCTTGCCCAGGGTGTTTGGGAACCACAAAAGAGCAGCAACCCCTCCAAAGGCTGCCTGTACAATGAAGAGAACGTAGTATTTCCACCCGATGCTGTTGAACGCCTGAGGGGCAGCCGCAGTCCAAACGAGATTAGAAAGACACATAGCTCCGATGCCGAGGGAAAAGCCCTGTGCACGCACTTGCGACGGCCAAATCTCGCCAATGTAGAAGAACATGGGACCATCAAGGAAGATCACGTAGAAAAGGACGTACAAGTAGATAATTGCCACTGCACCAGCTAATCCTGCTTTACTCTCACCTCCTAAGAAGTTCTTCTGCAACGCTGCTTCGACAACCAAAGTGCACATACAGAGAAAAAAGCCAGTAGCGAGCATGTACGTCCGGCTGAGTCTGTCGACAAATGTCATGGAGACAAAGGGGGCAATCATAACGATGCACACCCAGCCAGCAAGGAAGAAGAGGGTATCGAGCGGGCCATAGCCCAGGCTTGCATAGATGGCAGCCCCATAGTCTAGATACATGGTCAGTTTTGGAACTCTTATTCGCGTTAAATGGGTGACCTACTGTTGATGACGAGAACTCCGGACCCAACCATACACCACGTCAAGCAGATGGTGATTAGAGCACGCTTGCGCATGCTTGGATGTTTGAATATTTGGACGTAAGACATCTTCCGTGCAGTATCAAATTCGATTTGCTTCTGAATTTGGTAGAATTCAATTTCAGCGAAGTGATGGCTTTCGTGACCGGATCTAGAGTGAAGGCTCTGAAGGTTGGAAAGCGCTTCTTTATGGCGGCCCTGGGCAATGAGATATCTCGGAGATTCAGGTAGCCAATACATGACCGAGAGAAGGAGTCCAGGGAAAAACATCTGCAAACCAGTCGACCCTCGCCACTGGCTATCTCCACTGACGAAGTAAAAGCCGACAGAGCTGAAGGCGGCTAACACATAGCCCACTCCGATGTTGACAGCGATGATATTTCCAAGTATTCCGCGATGGGAAGGAGGTGTGATCTCGGTGACCCAGGTAGGGATAGTAGACAGAAACTGATATGAACTGGATTCTATAATTGAGCATCAAAATATGGGTCATAGGATGGGTTTAAGACTTACGACCAGCCGCAAAAGAAGCGAAATGTTATGTAAACTGCAATATTGGGTGACCCGGTGCATATAGCTGAGGCGATAATCATAATGATGCCCGAAACTGTTGCGGACATCTTCCGCCCATAGCGATCGGCAAGTATGCCGTGGCAGAAGGATCCAAAAACGCCGCCAGCGTAGTACACGGCGAGTACAGCAGAGATCAGAGCCTCAGCATGCTTGGAAGTATCAAGTCCCATCTTAGAGAGAAAGGAGGGCTGTCCAAGGGTTGAACCTATGACGCTGTTGGAAAATCCGAAAGCCGCTGAACCAAAACAGATGAAGATGATAACGAATACCAATCGGCCACCAAAGTGCCGACCGCCATGGTCAGGGGCATCCTGTTGAGCGGTCATGATGGAAGTCAAAATGATGGATACTATGTATATGATAATGGCCCAAGTAATAAACTTAGAACTCTTGTTTCATCCATCTTCTTCACAGTACGAAAGGGAGGATTTGTGGCTTTTTATATACGGATTTCTATTGTGTAAGATGCCGACAGTCTGAACGACGGCAAATACTGAAAGTCTAGCCATGTATGGCGCTAGCTTAGCACATTAATTATCATTTGATGTCTCACTAGGCTAAAGATCATTTTCATTGCGTAGCTCGGTGGAGATATTCAACGCATTATCATTAGGGAGGAGGCCCTGCATGGACCTGTATACCACCGTGGAAACTGTCTACTATTTAAGTGGAAGGAACAACATCGACAGAATTCAAGCCCTCATATCTCTGTTTCAGTCAACGGTTACGACCTGGAGGTCGATGGCATCAGTGTCATAGATTCCTGATTGTGTGAAGGGGCAAATCCGGGGTACCAAGTCCCCCAAACCCCACTGGCCCCATGGGGAAACTTCATTGCATACTACTAGAACCCTGGATCTAGACACCCTGATAACCGACCTAGTCATGAAGATGATGGTGTCGGCTGGGGGAGTCTTGGTTGTGACTGGAGTCTAGCGCTATTCGGCTACTATCCTAGGCGTTGACGGACAGTAATTTCCGAGGCTATAGAGAGGGGTGGGGGACTTTCAGAGACAATACTTGCTAAGCTCTTATATGAATGTCGGATGTCATGCGGGGAAGGGCACAGATAAGGTAAAGACTGACTTCGGGTAGCCCTTTTCTATGGAGGGCTTTTGATTATGTTGGGCACGTAATAACGTTGATTAACGGATATATGGCAACAAAACCGCCTCTGCTTCGGCTATCTCAAAAACAAAACAGATTCTCCTACTCTAGGCGAGAATTAAACTAGAGCTTCACACGTGGACCTTCATCGAGCTAGAAACCCTTCTGTGACAATTTGTCTGTAGAATAAAAGAGCCCGTCTCAACCTTTTATCCTATCAGTGTTGGCTGTCTGGTTGAAAAGGGGTATTATGTAAAGGCGAATATGGTTAGGAGGTTTGGAAAAAATTGTTATCATCTTCTCCCAACTGATACATTGTGTTTACATGTGTCTTCATTCTGAATTACACGGCTGGTTTGTTTTATTCGATGGATCAAATTACGGAACTCAACGTCCAGAAGCTTGCACTTAGTTCTTAGTAGATGGACTCCTGCACTGGGCTTTGATTTCCCCAGAAGTCGGACCACTTGAACGTCTTCACCTTCTTGCGGAATTGACCAATTCCATGTTCACCCTCGGAGCCAGGCACCATCATGTTTTCAAAAGTCTTCTGAATGAGGCGCGCTTGAGTCTCACTCTCAGGATGGTCCCAGGCGACCCTTGTTAACTCCTTGTTAATGGTGGCAGAGCGAGGGGCACATTTCTCCAGCTGGTCTAGATAGATGTCGACTAGAGATGGAAGCGGTGTCTCCTCGCTGCTGATTTGATGGATGGCGCCCACTCGGTGCAATTCTTCAGGAGTGATGTCCCTTCCAGACACCATACCTTCTCTTGCCATAGATGGCCCCCACTCCCTTACGAGGTACTTGGATATAACAGCTGGGCTCACGCCTATCTTGACTTCGCTCAACGTCCAACGAGCTCGTGGTGAGACGATGCGGACATCGCACGCAAAAGTTAGCCCAACACCTCCACCGTAACAAGGCCGATCCACGACAGCGATTGTAGTCTGAGGGACATGATCGAGGGCATCGTACAAGGCTACCACTTTAGAGTAGTAGCTTGACTCTCCGGAGTTGGCTGTCTCTGTCTTGCCACTCAAATCCATGCCCGTGCAGAAAAATTTACCTTCTGACTCGAGGATGACATGGTAAATCGATGACTCCAAATGAAGGTTTTTGAATAGTGCAGTTAGTCCCTGGAGCATGGAATCTGTCAGGGCGTTGCCGTTCTTCGAGGAAGTCAAGGTGATTTTCATGACAGACCCAGAACGAGAAACACGGTACTCCCCGGTATCTTGCATTACCTTCCAAGATCTCTCTGACTTCAAAGGTTCGGTTGGTGTCGATTTGGGCTTTTGAACGGATGCTTTCTTCTTTGAAGCTATAGCCATGCCAGCCCTACTTCCGTAAGGGATGCCGATTTCATTGGATATCCACTGGCCAATGCTGCAGAGCCTTTCAAGATCTACGCCAGTGCTAATGCCAGAGTTCTCAAGCGTGTAAATGACATCTTCAGTGGCCACATTACCTCGGGCGCCTGGTGCATAGGGGCAGCCACCCAGACCGGCAACGCTGCTATCGAACTTCCTGATGCCCATATCGTAAGCACGCACGATGTTGGCAACGCCCTGGCCGTATGTATCGTGAAAATGCCCGGCAAGTTTGTTTGCCGGAATCTCTGTCAGTAGCGTCTCAAGCAGGTCTTGAACCTTCTTTGGGGTGCCAACACCCAGGGTGTCTCCTAGCCCGACTTCATAGCATCCCATATCTAACAATCTGCGCACGACTGGCAAGATAGCTTCAGGCGGCGTGGGGCCAGAGAATGGATCCGAAAAGATACAAGACACAACACTTGAATGTTAATCTTAAATTAGCAATTGGACACAAGTAAGGATAGGGCAGTTGCGGGACAGGCAATCTTAAACACTCACCCGCGAACTCGCATTCCAAGTTGAATAGCCTCTTTAGTAACCGCTTCACATTGCTGAAGAGCTTGGTCCACGGTGCAGTTTTGATTTGCCTTGCTGAAAGCTTCTGTTATAGATGCGAATACAACGATCTCCTTTGCGCCTGCCGCATGGGCGTTTTGTAGCCCCTTGTAGTTCGGAGCCAGCACAGGGTAGTTGAGCCGGCGAGATTGATATTCGTGGCCGGGATGCTCCAGGATTTGTTTCATCACTAAGGCACCATCTGCAAGCTGGGGAACCCATTTGGGCGACACAAAAGACGTGGCCTCGATATTTACCAACCCCGTATCGGCGAGTCGGCGGATCAACTCGATTTTGGTAGTTGTAGGGATGGTAGTTTTGATGTTCTGTAGTCCGTCCCGCGGGCCTACTTCGACAATTTCAACATCCCTTCTGCTGTTCAGACTAGAGTAAAGCCTAGTAGGAAGGCGTGAAGACGATACAGTACTGAGACGGAATTCTCTCAGTGATGGGAGTCTAATAGAACTGACAGGCAAGGGCGGGTGGGAACGGATAGCAATGATGGCCATGATTACTGGCTGATGTTTGGATTAGTGGCGGCAGATAGTAAGACGATGGGCCAGTGAACGACCAATTCACGATCCAAATTAACAACAACTCTTCTTTCGTACTGTTCATATGAAGTGTTGGGTTTATCTCACCCCCCAGGATTGCGTGTACTCTGCTCGGCAAAAGCTGCTCAGTTGGTCGGATACTATCGGTCTATGGAGAACTACGGTATTGCAGGCTTCTTAGGCCGAGATTGGGAGAAGATAGCCGAGGCAACCAAGCAGCCAACCAAAACGAGCAGTTGAATGAGAGATCTAGGAATCACGCTCACACATGACGTGTGCTGATGAATCTAGTTTGACGGAACAGTATTTTGAAAGCGAGAAACGACAAGGTAGGAGATGCAATCAAATCAAGGTTGTTGCGTCGAAACCGGAGCATAGACACCTGGCTACAAGCCACTGAAATTCGTACCAATTCCCTGGCTGTCTCTTTATCTCATTCTCAGTTGACAAATATTGTTTATTCCTGATGGCATTGATCTATTCCTACACATAGTAGTCTGGGGATAAGACCAATAGAATAGCATAGTGTATATTCAGAGCCCTCATTTCTGCAGTATTCAATTGGAAGGTAGCAAGGTAAAACCACTGATACAGCTGTCATTGATGTAACTGCTGACTAAAAGCAACCTGGGTCAGCTCTGTGGATGATGGGTTGCAAGTTCCCGAGGCTATCCGTTTAATAGCCGCCAACAATAGAGCTTGCAAGTGGCGTAACGTTGATCTGTGTTGTATTGGCTCTTTATCCAGAAAATGTACAAGAAAACTTACAGTACGCACAAGGTACACAGAGATGAACCCCTCATCATACCAAACAGGTACAAAGTAAAGAGTCAAACTACTTGCTAGAGAACCATCGTGTCTTGTTTGTAGAATACAAGAAGCCCATCCTTCCTTTGATGTTCAGCCTAATCGTTTTATTTTACCATCGTGTGTATAACTTGAATTCTCTCCCATTCCAAAATGTCCAAACGCATCTTTCCACTGGCTTCGTTGCCACGAGCGTCCCTTACAGCATGGTCGGCTCGCGCGACATCTGCCTCGTCTAAAGCTTGGAACTGTGCGCTCAACAACCAACGCCCCAGGCGCATCCATGCCCGCGCAAATGAGTACCTCCCAACAAACCTACCAGAATGGAATAATTCTCAGCGCGCCGTGCGAGAGGCTATCGCGAAAATCTGCTCTCAGTATACCGACGAGTACTGGATGGAGAAAGATACCGAGCACAAATTCCCCTGGGAACTCTACAATGATCTAGCTGCAAACGGCTGGCTTGGTATCTGTCTCCCCGAGGAGTATGGGGGCTCTGGGTTGGGTATCTCCGAGGCGGCTGTTATGCTGCAGACTATCTCGGAATCAGGAGCGTGCATGAATGGAGCTTCCTCGGTACACATGAACATTTTTGGCCTGGAGCCTGTGGCCAAATTCGGCACAAAGGAGCAAAAAGAGCGCTGGCTAGTGTCTCTCATCCAAGGAAAGGAGCGGGCATGCTTTGGCGTTACAGAACCTAACACTGGCCTGGACACCCTCAGGTTGCAGTCTATGGCTACTAGAAACGGTGATCACTACCGTGTTAAAGGATCTAAGGTCTTCATCTCTACGGCTCAGGTGGCAGAGAAGATCCTCCTTCTCGTTCGAACTGCGCCCTTCGACGCCAAGAAGCCCAGCCATGGTCTCTCGCTCTTCTATACCGATCTAGACCGGTCTCAAGTTCAGATTACCGAAATCCCCAAGATGGGTCGCTCAGCTGTCGACACTAACACCCTCTTCTTTGAAGACTGGAAGGTGCCAGCTGAGGATCTAGTCGGTCAGGAAGGAGAGGGATTTAAGATGATTATGCACGGGATGAACGCTGAGCGGATTCTCGTTGGTGCTGAGGCTCTAGGAATTGGATACGCAGCACTACGTCGCACTACTGAGTATGTCAATGAGCGAGTTGTTTTTGGCAACCCGATTGGCAAATATCAGGCTATACAGCACCCTCTAGCGGAATGCTGGATGAATCTAGAGAGTGCGAGGCTGATGATTTACTTGGCTGGTCGGATGTACGATGATGGCTACACAGATGGAGAGTACGCAAATGCAGGTAAATTTCTGGCCTCGGAGAGTGCTTTCAAGGCTGCCGAGAGAGCTATAATGTCTCATGGGGGTATGGGCTACGCCAAGGAGTATCATGTTGAGCGCTACCTGCGCGAGGCTACTTTATCCAGGATTGCGCCTGTTAGCGGGGAGATGATTAAAAATTACATTGGGCAGAAGGTACTGGGACTGCCCAAGAGCTACTAGTTTTAGATAATTTCGGCTGGTTGCTGGGCTGTTACAAAAGTGTATATCACAACTATTTTTTACTCAACAAAAGTAGTCATATCCGTGGACATGGCTCAAGGCGGCAGGACAACCGACCAGTGAGGTCTTACGATCAATAGAATTATTTTCTTGACGCTAGCAGCCTTGCTACGCACCGTCACTTTCTGATGAAGTAATATCCAAGGACTTGTTGTAAGTAATCCTGCTCTAAGCAGGTATAGGTTTACTCAAATTTCATCCTGTAGGGTAATAAACTGCACGACAGTTCCCGGAGTATGAAAAGTATTGCCGAGGTTGGTTGCCGGGACCGGAAGAAGGGCGTGCTGATGCAGTGGGAGCGTAGTGGTCCAATTTACAATTTACCATCTGGTGCTAGAGGCGGCTGCTTCGGTGTGTGTTGTGTAGGGTCCGATCCGGAGCAACTTTGGGAATGCCCGAGGTAAGATGATGATTGGGGCTCGTTTGCCATTCCCGGATTTATACACTGTACACCAATTTCTGTTACTAAGGAATGGTGAATGGATATGCTGCATTACTGGATACATTTACTACGAGCATAGATATATACTGGAGCTACTCGTGCATGTTCATCTTTCAAGCCGAGGACACCCACTCGAACTTATGGATTCAAATGTCATAATGAACACCATGTTGCGTCGTCTTAGAAGATGCTATGGTCCCAAGATAGGCCACACGGAGCCGAATGTATTCAGGAATAACCAACTATTGATTCAACGTGGATATTGCGCTCGAAAATATTCCCAATCGACAGCCCAATCAAAAATGGGGGATCTGAAGAGCCAGGGGGCACTCACCGGCCTGAAAATTTTAGATCTTTCCCGAGTCTTGGCTGTAAGGCTTATTTTTTGTTCTCTGCTATGACCAGAAGGATTTTCTAACATGTTTCTTTCTCCTCGGTGCGGCAGGCCCCATTTTGCTCACAGATTCTGGCAGATTACGGCGCCGATGTCATCAAGGTTGAGACTGTTGATAAAGGAGTATGTGCCGACCGGCCGTGTATATCACCAGCTACAACGGAGCCCCTAAGCTAACATGGAAAACCAACTAGGATGACACAAGGCATTGGCAGATGACGGGAGAAGCAGCGACATGGAGGAAGTCGGCCGGTCCAATCTCCAACTACTTCTCTGCCGTCAATCGAAACAAAAGATCCATCACCTTGAATTTGAAACATGAGAAAGGCAAGGAAATCTTGAAGAAGCTGGCGCTGAGCGCCGATGTGGTGTAGGTCTTCCCGACCCGCGTCTTGTCAAGTTAGCAAGACTGACCCAAAAGAAATCGCTGACAAGATGAGCCTTTCTGTGGAACAGGATTGAGAACTTCAAACCAGGAACAATGGAGAATCTAGGGCTTGGATACGACACGTTAAGAGAAGAGAATCCGAAGCTTATTTATGCCAGTCTCTCCGGTGAGCTAACAATTTCTACTCTTGAAGAGCGCAACATTGACAATCAGCTCCCTGGAAGGATACGGGAGATCTGGACCTTACGCCAAGCGCGGAGGCTATGATCCGATCGCAGCAGCAGAAGCCGGCCTCCTTCATATTACTGGAGAGCGGAATGGCCCTCCAGTGCGAGTCGGTCTCGGGATGGTAGACATGTCCACGGGCCTCTACCTCCACGGTGCAATCCTCGCCGCTGTAATTGCTCGTCAGCGGGACGGGCTGGGTCAGCGTGTAGACACATCACTGTTCGGAACCCAAGTCAGCATGCTGATCAATGTTGGGCTATCCTGGCTCAACTTGGGCATTGAAGCTCAGCGCTGGGGTTGCCAACACCCAAGCATTGCCCCGTACGATGCGTTTGAAACCAAAGACGCCTACCTCGTCTGTGGCGCGACCAACGACGTCCAGTTCTCAGCCCTCTGTAAGCTTCTTGGGCTCGGGGAGTTAGCTAAGGATGAGCGCTTTGCAACCAACCCTAAGCGCGTGGAGAATCGGGACACGTTGGGTCCTATGTTCAACGACGTTTTCCGGACGAAGACGACGGCTGAGTGGGTTCCTATCTTCGAAACCACAGGTCTGCCTTTTGGGCCCATCAATAACATGGAACGCACCTTTGCTCATCCGCAGACGGAGGCACTTGACATGGTCAATCGTGTGGACCTGGATGCAGCTGAATCAGGGCAGCTTCGTCTGATTGGACCGGCGGTTAAGTTCAGTAGGACGGAGACGACTTTCAGGCGTGCTCCTCCAACACTCGGGCAACACACATCGGAGGTGCTGGAGGAACTTGGAATGGAGAGCTCGGACGTGGCGCTATTGAAGGAGCAAAAGGTGGTATAGATTTGACCTATTGAATATACATGGGGTTAATCCAAACTAATGGTACCGCATTTTAATACCTCCTCACCGTGACTAGATAAATTCACGATATCTAAGAGCACTCCTGACAGCACAAGCGTTTAACACCCTAGTTACTTTAGTATAAGCTTATAGCAATATATAAGTGGTGGCTCTACGAAAGACACGCATTGGATATTTACAGGTGAGATGAAGGTTAGACTTTTCTAGGCGTATGACTGCTTGGGTGTACTGGGAAAGGCTATGTATTTCAAGCTTTTCGTATTCACTGCGTCGAGTTGGTCGGTCGGGCACTGGCAGCTTCATTATTGTTAAACTGTATCCTCTTTCGCCTACGCACAGGTGAGATGATTTGCCTACTGGGGGGTCTTTTCACTCTCACGTTTTCGGACTCAGTGATTCGAACTGCATTGGAGGCTACCAGTATGGAGCATCTACAAAAAGACCCTCAAAAGTCTGTATTAGACCTAGCCTGTTCCCATTCTTTCCTGTCCCTTCCTTTATCCTTAAAAATAGGTTGAAATAGTCTCTTCCACCGTTCTATAGCGCCGTGGTGGTGGGCTACCATATATCCACGATTTACCTCCGAGCCCCCGTCGGTTGGTTCTATCCAGTCCACGATCTGGTTATGAAATCCGAAACAGTAAGCATAATCATACTGTAGAAAGACTCGTTGTCAGCGCTTGGTCATCCTTCATCCACCAAATGGTACAACGGATACTTACGCATGGGGAGCAACGCGAAAGAAGTACGGGACAAAGCCGCGCCCAAAAGCGCTCAATCCCTCCGTCTTAGCCACCTTGACAATGCAGTCAAAGAAGCCCTTGTAAGCTTCGCCATCGCCCGCCTGCCTTGTTTGCCATTGCATCCTGGTCTTGACAAAGTCAAACGGCAGACTTAATACCGTCGCTGAGAATCCCGCAATAGCTGAAGCCACGAGGGACTGCACGTAGGGTGAGAGACTGGTGTGTACGGCCAACTGGTGCTTGGACTCTGAGAAGAAGGTTAGCTGCCCAAAGTTCGTGGAGCATGCGCGGATAACAGTTGGAGATGTGCCGCTCCAAAGTCCCTTGATCCCTTCGGTCCGTACGATCCTTCCAAGGGCATCAAAAACTGAGCGGTAGTTTGCTCGCTCTGCTGGTGGTTTGGCGCCATCACTCTGCATCCGAATAAGTGCGACCTCTGTAGGATTGCCAATCAGTGAGCCCAACCCGCCGGCGAGGACTCCCGCGGCCCCTCTCTCCACGAATGTTATTTCTCTGTTCTGATGCCTCGCCCTTCTCTTGAAAGTATCCTCAAACGTGTAGAACAAACCTAACCGTGCGGTTCCATAGACAATTTGACGGAGATAGCCCGCCGAGATTCCTTGGTACAAGTCCCAGACCTTGCCGTTGGAAACGATTCCCCTCATAGTCTCGAAAGCGCCAAGTTGTAAGCTGCTCCGGGCCCCTTGGCCAGAAAGTTGAAGGCGGACCTTGACTACGTCGATGGGGTGGATGCATGTAGTCGCAACGAGTCCTGAGACTCCACCAACTATGAACGGCTTCCATTTGGCTACAGGGCGCTCAAAGCTGCTATCATTCTGTGTGCGGCCCATGGCATACTCTTGGCTAGAGCGAGTGGTAGAAGGATACGTCCTGTTGGAACCTGGTCGAACAACACACTCACGGAGTGGCAATATTATTCTGGGTTATGCACAAAATACTCAATAAACCTACACTATTAAATTTTCCTAACCTGTACATGGGTGCTTTTATTCCGTTTGTCGTCTAGAAGGACGAGAGTTCCTAGCATTGAGTCCCTTGCATTGCTAGGAGTCTGACTTTCTGTTACAGTCTATATGAGGTCTTCACTACGGTTGCCGCTCCTCGGCTATGACTGTGCGTTAGTGCTGGAGATTTAATAACCGAGGTGACTTGCCAGTCAGGGTTTCCGTATTCGACGTAGCGCTGGTGCAGGGCCAAGCATCGTTGAGTCCTTTCGTGTCCAGACTCCAAGTCCCTTCCCAACTGGATCTGTTGTTTTAGTCCACCGTGAGGTAGATCGAGGTTTGATGAAATCTCTGAGTTTAGTTGCTTTATAGTTTATACGCAGGGCACACTTCTCAAATTATTAGTTGTGCGTGGCTTCGCTGGCCAAAAGGAGTAGAATACTGTCACACGCGACGTCAATGTGTTAAGCACCAGTGTGTAGCCTGGTTTCGGAAATGCGCCGTCTCCGAGACAAGGGACAAGTTGTAGTGTTAACGCGGGGCCCCGCGTCTTGTGTGTGTTGGTGTTTCCAGCATTGACGGCCCAGACTCTGACCCCGGATCTTCGACTCTTTAGTATCAAATGCTCACTGCCGTGACCACACGCGGGGCAGCATCTGTAATCAAAGCCCACATTGTTAGTTGGTCACTCTGGAATCCGTTCACTGAGGCACCAGGACACAACTTCACAAGGGCCATCTACCAAGGGCGACGAGGCTCAGGGCTAGCTTGTCTTTTTCTGCTTGCTTCCTGCTTCGACCATGGTACCCGGAAGGTTGAGCATAGAGCCCGAGGGCCAACCGGAGGTCAGGCCCAACGGGAATGCAATCAACAACAACAATAACACCGCCACGGTTAACTCCAACGAAGGCTCAGGAGCGGGCCCGAGCGAGGGCCAGAAGCGCAACGGCGACGAGCTTCAGTCGGACTCTGCCGTGAAGCGACGAGCATCTAGAGCGTGCCTCTCGTGTCGTACCCGTAAGGTTCGCTGCGACGTAACCAACCGCGGCGTGCCCTGCACAAACTGCCGTCTAGACACAGTTGAATGCGCTCTCACTGAGTCCTGGCGAGGCCGCGTGCGTAGGGCACCCACAACAGCACATGTGGCAGAAGCGAGATCGACGTCTTCGAGATCAGAGCATCCGGACCCGCCTCCACAGGCACATATACAGTCGCAAGTGCATGCTCATACCAATCTCTACGCGCAAACGAACGGTTCCTATCCCGAGTCCGCTGCCGAAGACTTTCCAGTATCCTTGACATTCGAAGGTAAGCATATCACAGGCCTCAGACATCTATTGTATATTCTTCTTCCAATGACTGACATGTGTCCTCGTCACCCATCTCAGGCTTGCGGGACGTCTCTGATCGCAATGAAGACACACTGAACCGCCCAGACAATGACAATGCTGAGGCATCCCTCGCCAGCTCAGCCCTTGGGGCCCTTGGCACATCATCGTCCGCAGGCCCTTCGCCAGTCGGCGGGAACCAGGGGCTAACCCTGCCTCCGTACATTCGACCGTTGCCGCCGCGGCTGAAGGCTGCTGATCTTTACTACCTCATGGCCAAGGATGCTCTAAGCATACCAGACGAAGAGCTTCAGCGGCAGCTCCTACGGCAGTACATAGAGCATGTCCACCCTTTCATGCCCATCTTAGACCTTGCAGACTTCTTGCTACCGATCGCCTGTCGCGATGGGTCCTCGGGCTCTCCAGTCAGCTTGCTTTTGTTCCAAGCGGTGATGTTTGCTGGTGTGGCATACATAGATTTTGAATATTGCACCTCGAGAGGCTTCGACCACCGTAAATTGATGCGCAAGCACTTCTTGGATAAAGTCCGGGTTCTCTACGATCTCGATACGGAGCCTGACCGGACGGCGCGACTGCAGGCCCTGCTCCTCATGACATATTGGTACCAAAGGGCCGAGGATGAGAAGGACACATGGCACTGGACAGGCATCGCGTTGTCACAAATCTACATGATGGGAATCCACCGCGACCCCAACCAGTTGGATGTCCCCCCCAAAGTCATCAGGCGAAGGAAGAGGATATGGTGGGCGTGTTACGTGCGTGACCGCCTCATCGCACTGGGGATCCGCCGGCCTGCTCGGATACGAGCAAGTGATTTCGACGTTCCAAAACTGACATTAGAGGATTGCGAGTTGGAGCCCCTGGATGCGACTGTTGTCTCCTTTTTAGGCCACCTTCCAGTGGTAGATGCTACGACCCAGAGGGATCTTATGCGTTGTTTTATCGACCTCACGAAGCTGGGTGACCATATCGGCGACATTCTCAGCACACAGTATACAACTGTGGGCACTAATACCTATAAATTCAAGACAGAGGACAGAATGACTATGATGGTTGTGCCCCAAAGATCAGCCCAGCAGATGGAAGATATGACAAAGTGTGTTGCGAAGCTGGATACGTGGCGGCAGAATATGCACTCATCCAGTCGATATCGGCCTAGCCGACCGCACAGTGACCATTTTCATGAACCGACTGAGCTAGAGACTCATCCTGTAGTGAATCTGCATCAGGCTATGATATACATGATTTATCTCACCGCCACTGCTATCCTCCACCGGCCACGCGCACAGCATGAACAGTCTCGTGGTGACGGCATCAGCGATGGAAACGTCATGAATGTATCCACCACCAGTCCGCGTCTCGGCCCAGGTACAGCCAACCGAGCTTCCACGGACACAAGCACAGGCTCGTTGACCAGCAGCTCCGCCGAGAAAATAGCCGACGCTGCTGCTGGGATCACAGAGATAGCTTACGACCTACACTACGGCCGGCATGGTAACCAGCTGCGCTTTGCGTCCACCTCGGCGATTCCGGCGCTCTTATCCGCCATTCTCATCCACCTGAATGAGATCAGCTCCTCCAAGAAGGACCCCGTAAGGAGGTATGTGGCTATTGGCCGTTTCTACCAATGCTGGCAAGCTCTCCAGTATCTCCGAGATATGTATGCCTCGGCAGACCACGTTGTATGGTTCCTGGAGGCCGTGATAGAAAAGACCAACGTCGAAATCCCCATGCTGAATCTCGCAACGACATCACATGCTTCCACGCCCGACTCTAGGCGGCTGCCCTTGGCCAAAACTACTGCACATCCGGCCTCCCACCAACGGACTAACGCTCCCACAGGCATCTCTGGGCTCGGCGAACAAGTCGGGCGCAACGCCATGATTACGCCGGTCACGCTGGACGATCTGCCGACCAGCGGCTCACAATCTAATGGCGTCTACGATATGCGAGGGGACTGCTTCCCGAGAAGGCCGCCGGCGTTCCAGAGTCCCTTTTCGCAACCACAGGCCAGCATGCAAGTAGGCGACCACCCTGTGGTGAGTGACCCGCATGACGCGTGGACGATCTTCGACGATGAGGATAACCTCCTGCAAGCCCTGGTGCATTTTGATGCGGATCCGAATTTCTTTCCGGCGAGCGGATTTTGAGGAGCATGCGTTTATGTGGGCAAGGGTTGGTTTTCAATGTCAATGATGTCCAGGAGTGGAGTTGCTGCATTGTAACGGAGAGAAGGCCTAATATTGTTGGAAGCGGATTGTTAACTCTGAACGTCTTCAATGGTGCTCTATTGAACCCCCAATGGAAACAGTCGAATTAACCAATCAATTAATCAATCTAGTCAAGAAGTTGAAGCCCTGGAAAGGTGGCCGATAGCTCATTTTTCTATCTATAGGCTAAATATTCATCAAGTTCTTGCAGGTAATTATGGCTATATGGGTGAGCACTCTTCTTCCTATATGATACAGCAAGACGTAGTGGCGATCCTATTTGCTTGTTGTTATACCTTCCACAAACTCCATCACGGCCTCGTGGTATTCCTTCGTTTTCTTGAAGTGGCTATATACGTAGAAGGCGTGTGGCATCCCTGCGTGCGTGTTGAGGGTAACAGAAACCCTAAAACTGTTAGAACAAGTAACATAGAGCATCTCTCCATAAACATGATACTTACCCGCTGTTTTTCAAAGCTTCGGCATAAGCATAACCTTCATCCCTTAAAGGGTCCATCCCGGCGACCTGGATTACTTTTGTATCGTTTCATTCAGCGAATAAACTCTTCACACGAGGATTTCTCATGCACTCACATGCTGGTGGCAGGTATTTCAAGTTGTCAGACAGCAACGGGCTCGCTTGCGGGTCGTTTGCTTTTTCCGCTGCGATGTAGTTATCCCAAAACAACCGCATTCTCGTAGCGCTAACAATAGGTGCGTCGGCGTTCTGTTGGTATGAACTTGTCGTCCCGATACTGTATTTCGACGCAGGAAAATGGTCCGGGTGGCAAGTCACGGGGATGTTGAGGATTTGCCCTATTATGGCCGTGATTCCTTCGTCACGAGCCCTTCGTGCCACAACGGTTGCCTAATCGAAGAGTTACTTACATGAGGTGACTTGTTCAAGAAGATGATGAGGGGTTCCAGAAAGCGGAACATACCAAATTCGCTCCTGCGCTGCCGCCCCCAATGATAATTCTCTTGGCATCCCCTCCAAGAGAAGCAGCATGCCTAAGCAACTGAAAAAGCAAGTCAGAAGTCTTCTCCCTCATATTCCAGGATTCAAGATTTAAGAGCAGTGCCGAACCCATTTGAAAACGTCGTAACAGTCGTTGAGTCCACAAGGGTAGGGGAATTCCGGAGACCTGAAGGATGGTGAGCATGCTGCTTCATAAGCATAAGGAAATTTGCATACCTTCTATAATCCACACTAATCACCAGTACTTTATTCCGAGCGGCTACGAGTCTATTCTGAGTCTCTTCAGACTCAGTATTGCCAGTCATCCATCCTACAGCGACCGAAAACGTCAGCCCATCTCACACCACATAAGAACAGAAGGTGATTAGCATGGAGGCAGTTTCATTGGAGAACAAGTTGATAGCTACCTCCTCCGTGAATATTGTAGTATATTGGTGTCAACGAGTTTGATTTTTCATTGCTTATGTGTTGATAAATGCGAACTTCGATTGATGTCCCATCTCGCACCGTCACATGAGACTCTGCGATGCGTATGTCTCTCCCTTCAACGGGGGCATAAGTTGCAAGCGGAGGCGGTTGGTAGGGGATCTTGCGGAACTCTTCAATCGGTAGAGCGTACAGCTTTGCGGCCGCCTCATCTACCATAGCATGCTTATCAGCGACTTGTAGCCATTCTGAGTCTGGCATAGACAAGTGGAAGAATCGACCGTGATTGACTGGCTGCTCGTCAGACATGTCGATCATTCGCTATTCATCGCTGGTATAAGACTCCGTGCTGGGTTGTTCCTTGATGATCAAGTTCGCGACCAGTGTAAATGACGTCCGTGTGAAGCTTGTATCACTCCTTCTCATACCGCAAGCAAAATACCAGAATAATGAGACATCGGCATGCTGAGATGAGTACGGGTCGGAAGTCAATATCTGGAGGGCCGGATCTCCGAGAAAACCTCGGCAACGGCTTTGAAGATTAGCCGCCCACTAACATCGAGTTCCCGATCACGTATGGTCGGATGATTTGAGCCGTACTTGTCATAAGTTCATATCAGTGCCGAGAAAATATCACTGGTTAAATTAGGCCCGGATATGATCTGCCAATATGCCATTTATGATGTATTTGTAGATACCTACACTAGCACCTCTTCTCCCAGGGGTTTCATGATACCGTCGTAATCTCATCTCCGAAGGCTCAAGCCCTTTATTCCAGAAAAGAAAAACAGAGTTAGGCATTATGGCTGTTGCGAAATATAACGGTGCCGTCTGGGACCTTTCCGAAGTGACGAGCTTTGAGAGCCTGGTTCACAAATCAGTCATCATTACAGGAAGTTAGGCTAAGCCCCTCACAGTTGCTCCTTACCAGAAACACTCCATGAATGCTAACAATCTGATCAGGCGCAGGCGGACTGGGCAAGGCATACGCTGAGGCCTTTGTTAAAGCTGGGTATGCTGCATCATTCGCCTCAAAAAATTGACGTCTCAGATATAGCCCGCTCACGAAGTTTCCCGTAGATCATTCGTCACCATTGCCGACTATGACGAGAAAACTGGCAAAGAAACCGCTGCCCAGTTGGGAAGGTATGGACCTCACTCATTAAACTGGACTGGGAGCATAGGCTGCTAATAAGCAGTTGCAACACAGCAATGCACAGTTTGTGAAATGTGATGTACGGCGCTGGGATGATCAAGTCGCCGTTTTCGAAGCTGCAGTCACCAACTCACCGGATAAGAGCTGCGACATCGTCATTTCAAATGCAGGCATCATAGTACCAGACGATATGTTCAAGTTCGATGGTAAGCTTCCTCATTCTTTATTTCACCCGTTAGTTGCTAAGTTGGTCTGACATAAAATGTAGACCCATCCCAACAACCTATTAAACCAGATTTGAGAACTCTTGAAGTCAACCTTCTCGGCACAGCTTACACTATCAAGCTGGCCATTCATTATTTCAGGCGTCAATCTTTGGACGGCGCACGAGATCGTTGCTTGATTCTGAAATCGAGCCTTTCTGGCTACGTTGACCAGCCAGGAGCCCCTCAATACAACGCTTCTAAATGGGGGGTACGGGGATTTTTAAGAAGCTACAGAAGGGTCTTGCACAATGAGAACATCCGAGTCAATCTAGTTGCCCCATGGTGAGTCTCCTCGTCTAGTTAGGTGCAATCTAACTGAAAGGTGGCTGAACAAGTGATACACATAGGTACGTCCGAACCCCCATTCTGTCCGACGCCACCGTCGAGTTCTTGCAGTCAAAGGGTGTCAACTTTGCGACCATGGATGACGCCGCTTCAACCATGCTGAGGATTGCCGCAATGAAAGAAGTCAATGGTAGGTATTTCTTTTTGACCAAATGCTTTGAAGAAGTGAAAGTCTAACCATGATCTTACTTTATAGGCAGAGCCTTTGGAATTGTCCCCAAAGAAATGGCAAGTTTGGGATGTTTGGACTTGGAGCATGATGATTACCAGGAAGGCGACTTCATGAAAGGATGGCAGGAGACAGTGTTAGAGACCGCCCAGGCAGTAGTTGACCTTGCTTGAGGTAGCGCCGTGTTGAGTACCAGATTATCAATGAAGCTTTATGTAGCCGGATATTTAAATATTTAAATACTATGAGCATGTAGCTCTGTACCTCGAGGTTCACATCATGAGTGGTTCACATTGCAATAAAAGAACTATAGTGCCATAGTCACCTTAGCTAGTTATTCAAGCCTTGGGTATTCTTTTAAAACACACCATTACATCTATTCAATGGCACGTGTTGTGCCGTACAATGAGGTAAATCTAAAAAAACCATAGTCATTGGGGTGTGTGTACTGCCTATGGTGGGGGGGGCATTCTTATGTCCTCTGTTCACGATCTAGCCTTTCTTTGAATCATGGATTAGGACGTATCCCTGGCTACCTCAGTGACTTTATCTAAAATTTCAAGCTATTTGTGCTTGATAGTTCCGTTAATATCTACCTTAATTTGTAGAGAAGCCGCCATCAATGACGAGTCCTACGCCATTAATGAAGCTACTCATCGGCGAAGCAAGGAAGGTAATGCTATCCGCTACCTCATCCATTGTTGCCAGTCGTTTCAAAGGCGTTCGTTCTATATCCACCTTCAACGGAGCACCAGCTGATGTATCCATCAATTTTCTTAGAAGAGGTGTGTCCACGTAACCGGGACAGACTGCATTGATGCGAATGCTGGAAGATCCGTACGAGTTTGCATCGCCCTTAGTCAAGCCCATAACTCCTAACAGACAGGTTCAACAAGTTGGACTCTCAAGGATAACACTAAGTAAATGCATACCATGTTTCGAAGCGACATAAGCTGTGTTGTGCATGCGTCCATTTGGAGAAACAAGACCATACATTGAGGAAAGATTGATAATATTGCCGCGGCCGACTCGTGGGCCAAGGTCTCTGCCAGAAGGTTAGCCCCATGCCGTTTTATACATAATCACCGACGTACTCCTGGTTCAACATCACTTTGAGCTGTTCCTTTTGGCACTTGCGCACAGCATTCAGGTTGACATCAACCACATTCAGCCACTCTTCTTCGTCCACCACATGCGTTTGCTTCCCGCTACCACCGATACCCGCATTGTTTACGGCAATGTCTAAGCGACCAAACTTAGCGACCGTATCAGCGATAGCCTTTTCAACTTCCACGCCCACGCGTACGTCAAAGGACATCTCAAGGACTTCTACATGAGGATATTTGGCCTTGAGCGCGTTGACGGACTTGTGGAGTAGCTCGCCGTTGATATCAGTGAGGGCGAGTTTAGTGGCTCCGTGCTCAGCAAAAGCCAACGCCGTAGCTTCTCCTATGCCTGAACACGCAAGTTAGCTGTTTCAGATGGGTGGGGAGCTTGAAGTGAGACATGTCATCATACCTGAAGCGGCGCCTGTGATAAAGGCAGAGGTACCCTGGAGTAGACTCATTATTGTAAGCGACGGCTGCGAGTTCAAGCTGATCCGGGAGATTGACTCTTTGAGGGTGTTTGAGGGCGACAAGTATCTTAATACCTATTTATGGCACATATTTCGCATATACCCGAGGTTTCTTAGACTTCTGCTATCCGAGAGCACCAAGGCGAGCGCAACTAGCAATGGACGGATAAACTCCCCGAACCAACAACTCGAATAGATCAGAAACCTTGCAGTAACCATTATTATCCGACGATTGACACATTCATCATTTCCAGCATGAAAAAGCGCAGTGACTAGAGGGGTTTATTATTTAATTTATGATGGTAGAGAATCAATTAGGGGGCGCTTTCGTCTACCTAATATCCTTGCCTTAGGAATCATATAAATTAAAACCACAAAAGAATTCATTTCATTCAAGCTATACATTTAGTAACATCAAAACTATCCTAAATGGTTTGTAATTGCAAAGTATCTCAAGCTTGTGCCTACATCGTCATTCTTAGGGAGTCGACTCAGGTAGATTTGAAGGCTCATGATGAAGGTGCTGGAACCCAGGTTCCCACAAGAAGCTGGCCCGCTCAGAAGCCTCGCCATTAAGGAACTCAGGTTCCGGAGTGATGATTATTTTCTCGGCAGAGCATTCCAAAGCTTTACCATAAAGAGTTTCGTCATTCAGGAATTGATTTAGCGCCTTCACAATGGTGCCAATCGGAGTCATACTGTTGGATTATGCTCAGCCACCTTGACTCTGCTCACTTCAAGCGACTGAAGACTTACTTTTCTGGTCGGGCAGCAGCAATCATGGCAGCAGGGGCGAGAGGTGTGGCGACAAAGCCTGGCCGAATACAATTGATGCGAATGTTGTCCTTCTAAGAAGATTTTAGTGGATACAGATGCAGGGAAAATTTTTTTTGTTGGTGGTTGAAGCGTCGTACCAGTTTAAGAACTCTTCCTGCCGCCCGGACAAAGTTGTGAACCTGTTCTTGCTGTTAGGTTGTGATTCATTTTGTCTTTAAATGTGATATCAACGCACGGCAGCTTTGCTACCGCTATACTCTGGGTAGCTCTGGTGAGGATAGAGGCTCGACGCGCTGGCAGTGATGACAATGTTTCCACCTGGAATCTTATTCTTTCTCATGAAGTAGATCGCAAGTTGAGAGCTGAAGTAGACGCCTTTGACGTTTACGTCAGTGCAGGATAGATCTGGCTCCGGTGGTACTCTGAGGCTTGTGTGTCAATGATAGAGCCCACATACAACGTACGCCCAAAAGCAATTGGAATAGAAGACTCACGTGTCTGAATTACGGTAATCAAACACATAGAGGGAACTGTAGTTCTGTTAGTCCGTTCGACGGTATCCTGGGGATGAGTCCAATGTAGGTTGCTCGCCTGCGATCGAGAATTCCAGCATTGGGGCATACTAGGTCCAGTCTACCGTGTGATTTCCAGACATCTTGGAAGCCCCGTGACTGATCCTCATAGCTCGCAACATTGCACTTGTGGAAGGTAGCCAAGTCTCCGAGGTCCTTGACGAGATCCAAGTTGTTTTTGAGGTCGAACAAAGCGACCTGCCATCCTTGACCGACAAGGTCTCTGGCGAAGGCCTCTCCCATTCCGGACTGGTTAAAACAATGTTAGAATACAAGGTGAAGATATCAACGAGATCTACGTACGCAACCACCGGTGATTATGGCAACAGGCTTAGAAGACATCGAAAAGAAGTTGAGCTGTAGCCGATGTGACTTATCGAAAATCTAGATTCAACAGGAATCCTTCCGTAGAAGACTTTGGATATAGACGAGATTAGTCCAGACACAAACGTAGCGGTCACACTGGTACAGCATTATTCTTATCCTGATCGCAACCTCATATTACTAAGACGTTAAACCACTGTGGAACTGACTCGTAAGTAGCAAGGTGGAAGCTCCGAGGTAATGGACGGATTTTTAGGCCGAAGTATGAGAGAGGATATGCCTTGAGCCACAAAGCAGATTCATCCTGTGGCTAAAGCCACCCGTGACTAGGTCTCAGGAGCAAAGCTCGGAGAAAGGTCCCTAGGGGTGAATATGTGGGGTACGATTGTAAGCCTGATAGCCGAATCTGCAGGTACTGGGATGCACCGGCTATCTGAGCAGACTATACAAAGGTCTCGGGCTTTCCTACCATCCGGTATGGGTGGGGGAAACGTGCAGCGAAAAAATGCTCCCGCTCCCCATTCGTCTTATTTTTGCGACGTAAGGACATTCTCCTTTACTTTAGTTTATTTTAAGAATATTGTATGGTGAGCTGTGTAGGCAAGTTAGTTAGCAAATGCAAGCACGACTCGTTCATTATCGATGGAACAAAATGCTGAGGTGGGATGCCATCCTATAGACGACAATTTGTGAATAGCATCTTAATATACAAATACATGACGTTGAACTCGGCGCTGAACCCGTCTTATCGACAACTGACCACGACAGAGAGTACCAATATCGCCACTGGAGTCAAGTCTATACCTTGATAGCCGAGGTGACCTCAGCCGGCTATTAAACCCCTGTTGCCAAGCTGATGGATATGGGAAATATGTGGAGTAAAGTCACTGCATCGGTGCGTTCTTCTGTACTAATCAGTGAGGGCATTGTGGTGTGTATAAGCGAGTATTGCATAAACCAACTAGCGTGAGGTTGCAATGGCATGAAATTTGAATGGCTTTGGCTAAATCTAAGCATTAGGATCACTATAGCTGGTTATAATATCATCAAAGGCCTCGTTAAACCAATCTGGGTCAACTGAGGATCCCAACTCTTCCCAACTGTGGGTAGTAATCCCGTGTTGGGGCATGCGAAGTGATTGGGGGAAATCAGCTTCGGACGGACAATGCCCATGAGCAAGAGAGTATTCCACCGTCAACACGATTCGCAAATACCTCTGGGGATCTTCAACCACGAAGTCTTTCCAGCTAGTGACCCGCCCACCTCGTGGTTGAGTTTGGCTATCGAGACCAGTTTGTGGCGACCCCTGGGCAAAGACCTTTGGTTGTGGTAAGGGCTCCTGGGTCTTAACGTGTTCCACAATATGTTTGACGCATCTGACTGTGCTTTCCGCGTTCTCATAGAGGTCATTAAAACCACCCATCACGTCAAGATGGGTCTTCAAGTCTTTTTTCAAACCCTGTGCTCTGTCATCAAAGTTGAGCATCTGGGCCTGCAACAGATCCCACACCAATGGCGTCGCTGCGAAGCTGATGCTGATGAAGATGGTTAGCGGTGCGACTAATGTTCAAATTTAGTCTTGATCTTGAAAGGCTCACAAGGTTATTGGTAGATATTTTACCAAACCAAAGTTTTTCAACTCCATTAGGTTCTCAGCAATACCACGAACGCAGCGGCTTAAGTTCCCCTGTGCCTCGAGTCTAGTCCGATCATGATTTGGTGAAATCGCATCATTTGAGGAAACTGTACCCAGTAAGATATAGTTGTATAATAATGCCTTGGCCGCACTATTTTAGTTTCCCTTGTTAGTCTGTTTTTCGTAGTGCTGGCTACTGAGTTAAGTAGTACTTACTAGTAGTAAGTATAGAGGACATTAGAAAACAGAATGATGGAATCATGTGCGCCCGCGGAAAGTGATGCCGTGCGCAGTTCGACATAAGTGTTTTGGTACCAGTTATCGAGCTTTGAAAGTAGGGCTTTGATCTGATCTGGGCGCAGCTTGTTCTTCATGCGGCCCGTGGTGGAGTGATGCTCCAAAGGTACGTCGTTGAGAATCATCCCCAGATCGCAGAGGACTATCGCGACCTGAACCAGAACCTTCTTCACTGGAGCTCCATACACCCTCGAAGATCTGACTTCGTGAGCAAAATCGCCAAACACAAACCCCCCGTGGCTAAAGTCAACCGCTTCAGGACTTATTAATGGTGCCTGGCGAAGAGCCAAAGCCAGGACTCTGTCACGTAGAACGCAACACCACCACAAGCGTTTGAGAGACAGGTCCAGATTTTCATCGTAGCAGTAAGCTTCAATGTTTTTGGCATAATGGATGGAAATACCAAGCCAGTATGTGGCACTTCTATCATTGAACTCCGTTGTACGGTACGTTAGCATCAAGGCTCCTTGTGATCGGGCTCGATCATCCAGGTCAATTTGGAGGTCAAACAAAGTCTATGGTAGATAAGTTATTTGTCAATGTCTTACTAATCTGGAAGATGAAAGGAAATGCATACCTTGGCTCTTGAATAAAACTCAGCGCGGGCCTCCTTGACAGTTCGAAAACCGAGTCTATCGAGTGACTCCAATGAAACATACTACAAAAAAACATGATTAATTTCGTTTCCTTTCGCACTTTTTCCAAATCTGGATAGATTGCACTTACAGGGCAGGATACGAAGAGCATGGCTTGAAGGATGAACAGTGGAATCGCCCGGGCCAAAGGGTCTGCTGAGCCATGCCCGTCGTACGCTTCCCAAAAGGCTTGCTCAACCAGTAGCGGAACCAGCGGGTGGAAGTACAAGAAATAACTTTGTATTATCTCTTCCAAGATCGGGGGGGCAGGGAGATGCAGGCATCCCCTCTTTTCTAAGAATTGGGCGGCATCGGGGTCCATCTTCGTGAAAGTGGGGAGTTTGACGAAGTGGTAGAAAGACGCTAGAAGAAACCCAGCTGAAGACTGGGACGACGTAGCTTTGGGTTTTGTACGATTTTCTTCCAACTTGGATAGTTCATGTCGTAGATCACATATAGCGTCGGCAGAGTCCTCTGGAGCTGAGTCAGGCTCATTTTCTCTGAAAGTAGCTTCTATTGTTGCCGATGACGTCGAAAAGCATGTCTTGGCCGAATGTTTATGTAGGCTCGTTGATGTAGGTGTGGTATCTATGTCCACAGTCGCTCCAGATTGGTCGCCAGACGTGACGAAATCCTCGATAAGATCTGGGAGGTAATGCGACGGTGACATGATTGCCGGGGAGACGTCGTGGGGCCCTTCACAGTCTCCAGCTTCGGCAGATTTCTGACTCTCTGAGCTTTGAATTGTGGCCCTAATGACATTGTCAGCTGTTGCGCAGAGCACCTTTAGTTGATGGTATTTCTTGGTGAGATGCTTACCACTTGCGAATCCTTGGTTTCACTACACACTCCTGCGAGTCTAGCTTACAGTTCAGGCACGGCACACCGCTGAAACATACATCACACCGAATCTTTCGCGCTCTACAAGTCAAGCAGGCTTGTCTCGCTCGTTGCCGCCGTCCGAGTTTGCTATGGTAGGAGGTAGACATGGGATCATGACTTCCCTTGCTCGTCAGTGCGGACTGCTCTACAGCTGACGGATAACGAGCGTGATTCGGCGCATACGCCTCAACTGGGTCTGAAGATTTATACATCCTGTCTTGTAGATAGGTAATCCTGGGATGAGCCACAGACTTTGTCCTTTCTAGGGAGGCCAACTTCGACAACTTTAGGTGATATGTTATAGGACAAATGGATCATGAAATAGTTCATACATCTTTCAGCCGTTGATCCTCATAAGCACATATAGATCAGTGTGTTAGTAAAACCTGGGCAGGTCAGTCCCCGCACTAGAAAGTCGAAGACGTATCGCGAGGTAGCCCAGTCCTAGTTGTCCTCTTCGAGTACATGTCCGGGCCAGAGTTAGTGTACTTCGTTGTAGTTTGCCGAGGCTACATCTGCCCCATAACTTCACCTTATGCACTACTAGGAATGTACCAGCATCGGTTACTACGAAAATACCCCAATTTTCATAGCAAGTCGCTAGCTTTGGAACAGGTCAAGTCACGTCTGAAAAGAAAGTCGACCGTTTTCAGTGCAATTATGTGCGAAGCCAATCTACAGGTGAGCGGGTCGCCTAAAGCAATCGCACAAATCTTACATGCTATACATCAAGAGCTCTCACGGGCTCGGGTCCGGGCTCGGGCACGGGTTCGGGCGGGCTCGGCTATGGGTTTCATACTCCAGCCTACCTAGTATCGCATTAACCAGAGTCTGACTAGGAATTAGCGCTTCTTGAGTATTGATATTGATTTCTCATGGGACTAAAAAGCTAGGCTCACAGACAGTCATAACATTGCTCATAATAGTAGGCTCCTACTGAGAAGAGGCTCCATATTCAGGTGTGTCTGCCACCTTGTACACAAGCTTCTCTCCAGAAACCTTGCCTGCTTCTAAGTCTGCCAAGCCTTGGATGACACCCTTCAGTCCATCCTTCCCAATATGTGTTGGATGTGGATGGAGGCGACCCTATATATTTTGATATTAGCAACAATACATAGTAAACAAAAGCCGGGAATTATCTTGGATTGAGCCCTGTGAGTGAGCGAGATAACACATACCAATGCCACCATTTGTTCCACAAGGTTGTAGAAAGACTTTCCAAATTCGTAGTCATACTTACTGGCGGGCATGAATTGAGACCCAAATTGAAAATCCCGGCCGAAAGTGGTGTGGAACACGGTCGCGATAGACTCGACATCCTTCCTAGGGCTCTTGACTGGTAGCAGAGTGGCATACACAGTCCTGCCAGACGGCGAGCTGGTGAGGGCCTCGGCACAAATTCGAGCCGAGTCTTCGATACTAATAGTATCCCACGCGAACCGAAGCTTGTTGTCAGTGTATTCACGAATCTTGGTCCCGGCATTGAGGTCCTTGTAGTCGACGGCGAAGTCTGCACCCAGAGTTCTGGCATGGTCGATCTGCGAAGCTGCACAGACAGTGACGACAGTGTAGCCGGCCCTAAGTGTAACGGTAAGGATTAGAAAAGGATGGTAGACCAGACATACGGCCGTGGGATGCAGGTGTGGGCAAGTACAAATAGAACGGGATGTCACCGTACGCCTTCGCAAATTGAATCCCCAATGTCCCCGTTGCAGTGCCACCGCCATAGATCAAAACAGGCTCATCACGTTTGGCAGTGCCAGCTGATCCCAAGTTGGGCCACTCCAGCTTCAGACCTTTCTGGAACAGACCCTGGCCAACAGTGCCAGTACCCAAACCTAGAGTCGCAGCCTGTTCAAAGCTGATGGAATCCGGCATACGCATCTGCAAATCGCCAATGACAGAAGCTACCTCCGCAAAGACGCCATCGTCCGGGTTCACCAGATTGGCTCCATGAGCACAGCCAAAGACCCTGTCCCCTAGCTTCCATTTCTTCGTCACGCCGGAGCCGACAGCCTCAACGATGCCCGCGTAGTCGCAGCCCACGATGCACCCGTCTTTGGCTCTCCTACCACGAATATGTCTCCAGTCCGTGGGATTCAGCGCTACGGCTACCGGCCGAACGAGCAGGCCGTCATCAGCAAGTCTAGGTACCTGGCGGACGGGGTCCAGACGGGCTCTATCGCCATCTATGACAACGGCCTTCATGGTCTGCATGCTGTAAGGCTGTGTGAACCGTGGGCGCCTGAAGGCGGCATGGCTGAAAGGGCGGGAAAGAAACATAGTAGTGATCTTAGGCATAAAATATTTGGTTGCCTATGAGTAATGAATCTCAATCTGCATTATCAACGTCAACAGACAACTTGTATGGGAAGGGTCAAATCTCGCCCTGCCAGATCTACTTTGAGCAAATATTGTAAATATAGACCTAAAGGCACTTAAAACTATGCGTCGACTTTGGATAGTATTTTCTTAGTCTCCAATAGTCTTCAAGAGTTGAATTGACGCACCCCGTGGCTAGCTGAACCCTTACGACGGTAATTGGATACTTGTGTGCGGCTTACGCAGGTTCGGGCGGCTTCGGCCCTCGGCAACTGGAAGACCTCTTTTTTTATTACCAGGGAAATAGAGGCCGAGAGCGGCCATGTAGAATACACGAGATGAAAAATTCCTGCCACTATTGAGTCCAACTTATGATGATGACTCTGAGACCAATCATAAACAGTGTTGTTCCAGTCTCATGTTCGCTATCTTTGGCCCGGTGATCATCTAGGCTTCAAATTGGAGAAGACCAAAGATTTCAGCTCCAAGTTCTCCTATCGGAAGAATATCTGGCACATTGTTTGGATCAAAATCCCAGTCCCTACTCGCGTGTGACTCGTCTATAGAGCTTTGGTCCTGTGGATTGAGCGACACAGGCCCGTCGTTTGAAGGTGCACGTAAAGAAGGCACTTGGCGATAACAAGCGCATGGTCCATCCTCGGATCTTAGATGAAGAAAATCGTGTAGCGGACTGGACATGTCCACCATCCGGCTCAGAGATACAAGCATCCGCCGGACTACAGGAAAATGCGGCCGCAACGCTTCCATGCTCTTGATCAGATGATTGAACCATATCGTATCTTCGGGTTTACTATGTAGGGCGTTTGTGGACTCGATCATGACAGTCGCAGCCACAACGCAGTTGTCGAGCATGACAGTGGGAAACCTTTCCACCCCAAAAGCTTCTCTGTAAGTCACCGTCAGGCGAGCTATGCGGACAGCGTATTGGTAAACTGTAGGGTCAAAGTTGTCCTGTGGTGGCAAGAGCGGCGCTTCGCCTACGAGTAGCCGCTTCCTGGTATTTGATAGCTTTGTCATGGATTGCCGTAAGAGTATCTGGGTTCTGCAGTATTGGCTGTGCAGCCCATATCCAACCAGACTCATGGCCGTGACACAATCTTTGTTGTAACGTAAGTCCGGGGCTAGGCTATCGTACCAGTCCTCCAGATCTTGAAAGGCCTCGCGCAGGAGGGTTGTCCTCTCATCAGGACTAGGAATGGATTTTTCATTCAGTGCACGGGATACTTTGCCCATCGGCGTGCAAAGTCCTACCCATGCATTAAGCCATGCCGAGTCGCATTTCAGCTTTCGCTTGCGTCGGGTCATGATGGAGTGCACCACATAGCTCGGTATGCTGTTCGGTCGGCCAAGATACATAGCAAAGATGCTTTCATATACAAGACAGCCCGACGCTAGAGTGTATGCGAGACAGCCTTCTTCAGATGGATCCTGATCTTGAGGCTCACACATTAACTCATGAAGTCCAAGGTCAGTCAACATTCGACAAGCGATGCCTTTACCATCCATCATGTTAGTTAATGAGACTTAAGGGAGAATGTACTGAAACTTGCCGCAATACATCCACCCCAGTGAGCTTTGGCCTATTGTAGACTCGTACTCGCTCAGAAGAAGAAACCCTTGTAAATTTGCAGGCGAGGGTTCGTACAGAGCTTTAGAAACGCCTTCCTTTGCCAACTCGTAGTAGTTCAGCCCAAGCCTGCGCACAGATTCAGACGTGCTTAGTCGCGAGCTGCAGGCCAGTATGATATTCTCCAGAAACTCGGAATACCATCTGGATTCATTGCCGTCTTCATTCCGATGCCGTGAAAACAAGTCTTCATCAACGAGTTCGACCAGTAAAATCTGGTATTTGAAAAATTCTTGCAGGAGGCTGTCCCGTAAGTGGCATGAGTTCGGGTCGAGGTCGATGTATCCTGGATCGTTTTTGGCTTCATTGGCTAAAACTAGAAGAGATTCGTCGTTGGGAAAAGAAACGTGGGGTTGAGATGAAGCACCGTAGAACCTAGAAATGCTACTACGACGACATCTAGGGGAGTCTTGTTTTTGCTGGACTGGCGAAGATGGTACTTGGTGGATTTCAACGGGGCCTGGCGATTGCACAAAGTGCGAGGGGGGATCGATGTTCTGAGGAGACGTAATGCTGGGAATAGTGGCTCTCGGTAGGCTCGTGGGAAGTGCCTCGCTCGGGTATGCGTAAGCGCAACTGTGCATTATCGGAGTTGAACCTTGACATACCTAGAATTTTCTAATGGGATAGATGTGAAATTATCAGCGGACGTAGCAGTCACATCGTTACTTGGTGCAGGCCGTGCAGAGGATTGGTTGCTTGTTCCCTGGTTCAGTGCCTCTAATGTTTCTATTCGTCGTTGAAGCTTGTGAACGAATTTGTGACTGACAGATCTACATACGATATTAGGCACAGATGACACCAACGAGGTTAAGATCCAGCAACGAACCTTCGACCATCGGACATTGGGTCAAAGAAGCAGTTCTGACGCGCTCGTCGACACGGGCTGCAACCCTCGCCTTGCGTCACATATTGCGCATCGCACTAAGCAAAGTATTGAGCAACTGACCAAAGAATACAAAACATTATTCCACTTACCTTGACCTTGCGCAGACGGCAATTCTGGCATGCAACAGCCGCACGTTGAGGCATCCCTGATGTCGCCGGACCAGCCGAGGTTTTCATTATCTAGTCCGGAACGGTGCCTGTTGGCTCGTACGTTGGTACGCAATCGCGATCACACGTGGAGTATAGATGAATTCTCACCTGGCACTGATAGATGGTCGGCGGTAATAGATTATCACCCTCAATCAGTTGCGATCATCACGAAGCAGGCGAGCGAGGAGACAGTCGCTTTCCCACGGCTCTGAAGATCACGATCAGGGACAGAATGCGGGGTACGATTTCCCCAGCCCAGGAAGCGGGTGTGGGCCTCTTTGGTTAGCTGTGGCCGGTGTCACGGGTTGCTGACTCGTAGGTTTTAGGCTGTATGAATTAATATTTCAAGCTACCTTACATAAAGAAGTATATAGAAGTCCTTTAGTAATATGGTAGAACAGTCATACTTCTTTGCCACTCGAGATAGAACAAAAGAGAATATAGTAAGAGGTGGTCTTAATGAAGAATACCTCAAGGATTATAAATCATTTAGCCTCGGCCTGACGTTCCATGGAATAGCTTTCTCTGTCTCCGTGATCCTGTCTGGCCGTTACAAGAAAAGATAATTTACAGCTCTCGAGGAAAACATAGAGCTCGTGCAATTACCAAGAAGGGGTCATTAAACTGATAACAAGGGAAAGATAGAAAAATACATTGCTCCAAGCTAAGTAATTCGAATATCAATCCAGTCTTTGCCTTGTACGAGTCTATTTGTGCAACTACAGGATGAAATACTCCTTCTATGATCAATCTCTAGGCCAACCCTAGGCGAAGAAGTTGAGTCCCAAACTCAATTAGATAGTAATCTGCATAAACCAATCCATGGTCTCTTATCTGTGCATATCCAAGAGCATTATTAGAGACTGTGGCATTTTTCAAGACTGCTTCAAAGGTGCTGCCCTCCAATTCATCGACACCGATGATATCTCCATCCCCTGTGGTGACCGATTTCGCTCGTTCTGAAGCGAGCGAGCATAGAATTGTTTCCTCGACAATGGTTAAAGCTGCTTTCAAATATCTCTTTCCCATATCATATCTCCCAAGGCCAGTGAATGCTTGGGAGAGAATCAGCATGCCATTTGCCGCGGCAACACCTGCTGAGGTATCTCGTAGGGGTATACCGTCCGCCTCAACTGGGGCATCAAAATCCCACATTGGCACGTAGCGTCCTGATGTTGTCCCATCTGAAGTGTAGGTTTCGACGCAGCTGGGAGCCATGTCTAGCCGAAGCAAAAAGTATTCGGCAAGACCACATGCCACGTGAAGAAAGGTTTCGTCTTTCGTCCATGTATAAGTCTGCGCGTAACCCAGTATCGCCCAAGCCTGGCCACGAGACCACGTTGAGTTTGCGTCAAAGCCCTGCGCAGTGCGTTTCTCTTTTATGCCCCCAGTCTGCGGGCAAAAGTTGACAACATGTCCAGTACTGTATAACATACCGGAGAACCCTGGGCGACACGCTGTCGGCTCCTCTCGCAGGTGAGTACGGATGAGAGTACGCGCATGATGCTTTGCCGCGTCGCTCAGATGAGAAGATCCACTGTGAGCTGCGGCGTAGAACAGAAGATCAAGATTGCATAAGGAATCGATAATGACGATGAAGTTTTCATCCATGCTGCGAATGTGAGGCGCGTTTGTCCACACCAGCTCGTCCCAGCAGCGAATCGCACCGACCGCCGAATTGTAACGACTATACAAGCTATTGGCAGCCGTGGTTATAGTGCTTAAAGCTTTTTCATCGTGGAAAAGCTCCCATCTAGGCTTCATATGGGTCATCATAATGAACCCAAGATCATGCGTGTTTGTAAGCCGAGATTCACCGTGGATCGGATCAGACCAGGTTCTCCCCAAATTTTCAAGAGTCGAGCGCAAAGATTGCACCTCAACCTCTTTAACTCGAAGCTGAGTGGGGTATTTGATTGCTCGCTCTAGAAGGGAATAGATAGATCCCGGGAAGAACCCACAGGTCCAGAAGTCTATCCCCTTGGAAACGTATTGGCCGACATCTGGTCCAGTTTGAGGGACAATGTGTGGATATTGTGAAGGCGGGTTCTATAGCTCGACAATAAGACCGGTGTTCAGATATTTGCATGTTGTGACTTACGTTGTTTGATAGATGTTTTTGAGCCGTTCGAATTATTTTCGCTGTGATGTTCTCCGAGAAAAGTTCATCTAGTGGTTCTTTCTGCCTCGCTCCCACTGTATGACTCTGTAGTCGTATCTTCCCAACTGACACCGTACTACCGGCGTAGACATTCGTGATTGCGTGCAAGCTACCCATTATCGACGACAGAGGGGAGGTATTGTACTGGTTAACGGCGCGAGATCTTCTCCTGTTTCAAATATTGTGATATATGGAGTCAGAGTATCCTCCAACTAAGAGAAGTACATCAAATGGCCTTATGGAGTAAAATCTCTTCTTAAGCCCAGCAGATTCAGGGGTAGACCCCTTTCATTTCTTGAACGTGACTACAACTCTTAACCGGAATGCGGAGCCCCGCGCAACCCCGAACATCTCATGCGTCATATTTTTCGGGTCTCGTCCTGACTCTCGGCCGGTGACACCCGACGAGATTTTGGACCACCATTCCATACTCCAGATGCCTTGAGTGCTTGGCACCATCTGCTGGTCGTGCGAAATCATCCTTAGGCGTTCAGCATTGACATCAAACTGGCTCTCCACCATGCCACCTCTCCCTGGCTTTTCGGACAACCCGTTCCGCTCTCGAAGCGACGTCCTCGTTGCCGTCAAAGCTCTGCTCCGACCTTTACTTCCTTATTTCTCTCCAGGATGTGCCAAGATTCGTATCCCCGTTGCCACTGGCACACATTTCGACGAAACCGCGGCCCAGCTCGAAGGCTACGCCCGGCCACTATGGGTCGTCGCTGCTCTGCTCATGAATAGCGATGAGCCTGACTGGGATCTAATACAGCCATGGATTAAGGGCATAGAAACCGGCACCGACCCAGAGCACCCCGAGTTCTGGGGGCACATCCGGGATTACGACCAGAAAATGGTTGAATGTGAGATGATATCTTTTTTACTATTGGCCGCACCAAAAGAGCGCCTGTGGGAGAGCATGGACCCCAAAGTTCAACGCAATATAATAGCATGGTTGTCAGAAATCCAAGCCAAAGCTATGCCACCTGCAAACTGGCTTTGGTTTCGCGTCTTTGCCAATTTGGCTCTTCTGAAAACATGCGGGGTAGACACACCCAGAGTCCGAGAGTCCCTTCAAAGTGATCTCGAGCTGCTCGACACCTTTTATGTTGCGGATGGGTGGTCTGGAGATGGTGTTTGGAGATCAGCAGAGCTGGATGAAAAGGAATGGGACATCTATAAACAAACTGGGCGAGCAAACGCGCTTCCTAATAGTAGAAATATGTGCTACTACTCGGGCAGCTTCGCCATCCAATTCAGCCAGCTTCTATACATCCGCTTTGCTGGGGATTTGGATCCTAAAAGAACCGAAAGATACCGCCAACAAGCGCGAGATTTTGGTGCCGGATTCTGGAGATATTTCGACTCCGAGGGTGCAGCGATACCATTCGGTCGTTCTTTGACGTACCGCTTTGCCTGTGGTGGCTTCTTCGCAGCACTCTCTCTAGCTGGAGTTGACCAAATGCCCGTACCCCTTCAAACATTGAGAGATGTCAAGGGGTTTCTCCTACGCCATCTCAGATGGTGGGCGAGACACTCGGACAATATCTTTTATCCAGATGGAACGCTAAATATTGGCTGGGTTTACCCGTATGTCACTTGAGGATGCTCTGGCAATCTACGCATGGCTGACGTCTGCTGAATAGGAACTGGTATCTTGCCGAAGACTACAACTCGCCTCAATCCGTCTATTGGGCTCTGAAATCTCTTATAATCGTCGCTTTAGATGCCGATCATCCATTCTGGGTCCAGCCCGAAACACCATATCCTGATGGCGGTGGGGTGAGTCTCGTTCCTGCACCACAACAAATACTATGTAATCATCCCCGAGGGAGTCACCATTTTCTCCTATCCTTCTCCCAGTTTATCGGTATTCCTTTCAAAGCTTCAAGGGCCAAATACTCTAAATTTGCATACTCATCGGCATTTGGATTCTCTGTCCCCTATGGGCCTGTTTCACTAAGACAGTCGCCACCCGATAACACGCTTGCTTTTAGCAGAGACGGTGGCGATACCTGGGCCGTAAAATACAAGACAGAGCAAGCTGAGTTTGGCAGAATCAAGGTTTGTGATGAGGAAGTTCCCATAGGGACTGTATCATGGTACCCCTGGACCGATCGTAGCATTGTTGTGACGACTACTATGATCCCGCCAACGTCGAGATGGCCAGACTGGCACATCCGCATTCACAAAATTAAGGCAACCACATCAACGTCACGAGTGTTCTTGTCCGAGGGAGGTTTCGCAATTAACAGTCGCCAGAAGAGCAATCATCTACTGCTGCCTGAAGTGGCAGTAAATGAGCAAACTGACGGAGTGGATGAAGGTATCATTCGCACCGAAAATTCGGTTCTGGTCTCAAATAATGGCGATGCAGTCGGGATCTCCATCGATGAACCAGCAAGAACCTCCCTCAACTTCTCAATGTCGGCCTTCGATCCGGAACCAAATACTAATCTTATGGTAGCAAGAAGCCTAATACCGTTGGTTGAATATGACATTGAAGACGGCTTCAAGGAAGGAGAAGACATTATTCTCGTTACTAAAGTCTTTGCGATCTCAACAAAAATCAGTTCTGCAAAGAAACCCCCGTATCCAATGGATCGATGGCTAGACGCACCTCGAGTCATTTTCGAGGAAACAAGGCTGTCAACTGACAGTGATGGTCATATTCATCTCAATATTTGATGATTCAGACATTAATTGATGAACAAATATTAATGTACAATTACTTTTTCGCCACCAATATTTGGTGACGGAAAGCCTACTACAAACATTCTTCATGCCTACGTTTTACCACCCCTGTGGCTGCGATGAATCATTCCATTGCTCGCCATTCTGAGCCAAGGCCATATCATCAAAACTAATGACACGGTCCATGTTAGAGAAACCTTGCCCCAGGAGAAGCTCCGAAATGGCGTTTAGGTCTTCATTCGAATCATCCAGCTCGCGCCCTGTCGTAGCTGCCCATTGCTGGATGTCACTCTCCATGGTGATAGGCCCTGGCAGGCTGCTTCCTGGGACCCCAGTGTCTACCTGGGCGTTGAATTGCCGAGATCCTGTGACATTACCTTCTGTCGCCATTCTGCGACTAGAGCCACCTTCTGCTCCAACTGCCAATCTGGGCGTGGAGCGTAAAAGCTCATCGACCCAGACTGCCTCCTCAGAATCACCGAGAAGATCAATCTTGAAATGCGGGTTTCGGATACATTTCTCGTGCAAGTCTCTCAGTCGGAGTGCAAACTGCAAAAACAAAGTTATGGGATCGTCATCACCAGACCAGCGGCGGGACATTTCTTCCAGATTGAGCACCATGGACCAGAATTCGCGGGGGAGCTCTGTACGAGTATACCTCCAGTGTACTAATTCACAGGTCAGTCAGCTACCGTCTATCCCCTTCCCAGCCTTAATTGATACAAGAGCCCTGGGGTGTCACTTACCCAACAAAATCCTAGCACTGATGAACGCACAGAATCCGAGTTGAGGAGTTACAAGAACCTCCTTGGTAGTTTGTTCCAGGAACTGGTTGCAGATATTAGCTGTCTCAACAGCGGCACTTAGGCACGTTTCTGCACTGCAAGAACTTGGCAGCTTTATTCCAGACAGCTCTGGGCCAGGGTACGCAATCTTCTGATGGAGGAGTATCATGGAAACATTATGTGTAGCATTTGCTGCAGTCATATTAGGATCCATAATGCCGGGCATGGCCTCTCTAGAGGCTCCAGAGTCTTTCCACTGATTGGGTAGGAACATTTTCCAGCTATTTTGTTCATTAGAAGTGACTATAGAATAGAATAGATGACTACTTACTGAACCAGCCTCAAGTCAAGCTCCTTGAATCGGGTCAGCCAGCTAAGCACCTCTTGCTTATCTCCAAAGTCAACTTCCTGTTGGAGGAAGTACGTGTTTACTCGGCTCAGGGACTCGATGGACTCGATATAATATGCGAATGCACCAATATTGGAAATGTCCAGTGGTACATCTGGCTTTGCCCGTTGCCGTATCGGGACAGGGGACTCCACGGCTCCGCTATCCGCATTTGAAGTTTTGGATGGGCTAGCATAGTGGTTTGGTAAGAACGTAATGGAGTTGCCCAGAGATGCAGCTGAGCGCGACCAGATGCCGAAGTAGGGGGTTAAACAGGGCGTTTCGTTGTACCATTTGCCACCGCAGACCGGGAGTCTCCTACTCACGTCTGTTGCGGTTAGGCTGTTGTTCCACCCTGTTGTTACCGAACAGAACCTGAAGGAAAGTGGTCAGCATGAGTCAAATGAAAAGTGAAAGCGAGTGTACCTATCGAGAATAAAGATATTCCAGAATACTCTTCTTCTCTCCTCCTCTTCAACCCAATTCTCGGGGTCTGGGAGCGTCGGCAAGGAAGTAAGAAACGAGTTTCTTTGTTTAGTATCCTCAGACTCGACGCTCAACTGCAAGTATTGAACGCCTCTAGTCATTGAACCGATGATCGGCCAAGCCCTTGCTGATTCTCCACTTCCTATCTATAAAGTTAGGTCAGTCTACTAGAACGGTTCGAAAGATGTCTGGTGGAGTGTCTAACGTGTATAAAAGCAACAATGGCAAAGGCCTGTAGATTTTCCACTGACAAACCACTCATTGCGGCCCTTAAGACGTAATCTTGAGATCTCTTTACGGTCGCCTTCATTGCTTCTCTTGAAAGGTCGTGGACATCCGGAGAAAGATGCCTTAGTGTAGCTACAATCATGGCATGCAGGACAACTGTATTCCGTTGGCGGCCGTCGTGTGTTTGCACTTCCCGCTGGAATTTTGGCGCGTGAATGAGCGGTATCCAAGGCTGAATCCGGAGGAAGTAGAAGTCCATGATAGCGTCAAGGAGAGCATTGCTTGGGAGACTATCGGCTGTTTCTTCACCAACATCGCATGCTTGCAAGTGCTCTTCATGTATGCCAAGCCTCCTCCTCTTTCTTTGCTGAGGCTGAGGCTCAGCATTTGCAAGATTTGAGTTAGTTCGCAAATTGCTTTGGGACCAAACGATGTTTGAGTTTAGCTTCTGGATTTCCGATGCCAACGAGGTAAGTATACCCAGGACTGGTGCTGCAGTGATATTACTGTTGTTGGTACCTCCTGACGGCTGGCCCAGCCCTGCGGCGTTCGGGGGTGGTGACGGGCGTTCATCGTCACCTTCCTCGTGCTCTCTATTGAATAAGTAATTCTCAATTACCTCTAGTATCTGAACATTAGCACAAAATGCACGGGCTACTGGAACTGGTTACGAATGAAGCATCCCAGTCTAGGTTCTTACGACATACGCAGCCTCTGAGATAGAGCATCTACAGCTCCCGTCTTGAGCCCCGGTTTGTTCCTCCGGGCTTCGTACAAGCAGACAGTATCTGGACACGACCGTAAGCGCGTTCGCTCATTTTGTTTCAGCGGAATACAGGGCGAAGCGTACTGTATTTTTCGCAATTGGAGCACAGGGGACGCTGCCGAGAGCACTTGAGCTTGCGTTTTCGACAGCCCTCACACGACGGGAGATCAGTCTCACCGCCTGGCTCGGTGAAAGGCTCGGCCATTGTTCTGCGGGAATCAATCCCTCCGTTTGATCTGAGTTTGTCCGTCATCTCACGAGGATCCGCGTCTCGGATGACGCAGAAATCACCGGCCGAACTTTGGGCCGAGTGGGTCACATATGTCACCAGGTTGGAAGCCACCTACCCTACAGTCCGGACATGATCACCTACCATAAACAATACACTCTTCTGCAAAGTTTTATAATATGACCTAGCATATAGTAGGTTATTTGTTTGCAATTAGATATTATATATATTTATCAAATATCTCTTTGGTTTGTTGATAACATATTCAATCATTGCCTCGCATGCCGTGCGGAATAAGGTTAATATTACTCCCGTCAACTCATTCGAAGACCTCTTTGTGATGGATCAGAATGTTTTCGGAAAATATCCTCTATGCTTTCTTATGTATCTTTTAAGTGGACTATCTATTTCTTCTTTCAAGTCTGTTAAATTGTATTTCTATCATAGCAAGGAGTGTATTCCAAAATCAGGCCACACGTGATTTGTTGCACTTTTCTTTTCTTAACCAATTTGCGGGTTGAATTGTATATATGATTCCATTTTTACGTTATTTTTTTTTTCTTTTGAAAAATTCCCAGCTGATTCTCTACGAGTTGTCTACCCAGGAGTTATACTAGTTGCCGTAACGTACAGCGCATTTAAGACATGCTATAGCTACAGTCTGGACCAACCTGTCAACTGAGTGTAGGGGGCAGTTGACATGATCTACCAACACTCAGCCTTCACAGCCGACTTGGGTACATGCAGCCAGCTGGGGAGCCTTGCAGTCTGCCTAAGGGGAGGGGTACAACAATGTGACGTATGCTTACTCCTTTGATCCTGGCCCCGAGACATAAATTTTTCTTCACGTTACTTTTGACACATGCCAATAATTTTAACCTGATACCGCGCATATCATGATCAAATGCCTGGAATCTATTTCACCTGAGTCATCTGAGCGAAAATGCCTTCTGTTGGATCTCGGTTTACTTATGAAGCCCTCACCTTGGGCGAATTCCGGCTCCTCTCAATCAGGCCTGGCCACGCGCCGTGCGAGTATAAGTACTCACTCAGACACGAAAGTTTATCCAACCCTCCCCCATACAAGGCACTATCATATGTTTGGGGTGACCCTACTGCGCATCATGAGATCAAACTCAATGATGGACGTTTCGCCATTAACTCAAATCTCAAAACTGCTTTGAAGTACTTGCGTTTTGAGGACGAAGAAGCCATTTGGATCGATGCGATCTGCATTAATCAGAATGATGACCAGGAGAAAAGTAGACAGATCGCAGCGATGTCGCAAATATACCGCGGTGCGAATGAAGTGATAGCTTGGATAGGAGAATCGTCACAAGAGAGCCGAAGAGCCTTTGCATATCTCGACACTTGGCTTCGATCCGTTACTGAACTCATGAAGATTCAACAGGCGCCAGTAGATGGCAGGGACATCTATGATCTGAACAAGAGAAAGGACTTGATCGTCTCGGAATTTCCATTGCTCAAAGGAGATACAGTCCACCAAATTTTGAAGATTATTGAAGAAGACATGTCCATGTCTCTTGGCTCTGTGAGTTGTCTGTTATTGGAGATATGCCAAGGTTCAAGAGTGCTAACGGTTATATCAAGCTTAATTCCCCTCACATCTTGTCGATTGAAATCGATATTCATTTCCTTAGCCAACCTGCAGAGAGCAGAATTCTAGATTTGATCCGTGACGATGTGAATTCTAGAGATGACGCGGAAACGCCCGAGGATGAAGAAGCACCCCACAAAGTGAAACTATCGAATCCCAATGGCCCTCTAGCAAAACTCCTAGCTTCTATCGATGGTGACTTTCACGCTTTACGGCATACGTTCTCTGAGAGGGCATGGTGGGAAAGACTTTGGGTGATACAAGAAGCTGTTGTCTCAAGAGAGTTGAGTCTCCAGTGCGGACAAGAAAAGATACCTTGGGTGTGTCTCGATCAGACTTGGCATCTTGTCTTGAGATACTTTCAACAACCAATCGCCAGAACCTTGACGTCTGTATTTCATCGGATGTGGGAAATCTCCCTCCTCCGTAAACTAAAATTCGTCGAGTCACAGGAAGGAAGTTACTATTATGGGCTAGATTTCGCGTTGGAGAGCTTTGAACGATTTAAGAGTACCGATCCACGGGACAAAATATTTGGCCTTCTAAATATTGTATCTTCGACTGGTCCCGCCATTCAACCAGACTATGGGAAAAAAACGTCAGAGGTGTTTACTGAAGCGGCCGTATATCTGATATCGCAGACTCGGCGCTTAAATGTTTTGTGCGGTACCCAGCGAGCAGATTCAAAGCCGCAATGGCAGGAAGATGATCCATTACCAAGCTGGGTTCCGAACTTCTCTTTGACAAGCGGCTACGAGCCGTTATTAAGACTCAATGAAGGGAGTGGCGTTTATAATGCTAGCGGGGAATCACATATTATTGATGCAGTTTCATATGATGATCTTTCACGGTCCTTATATCTCACAGGCTTTGTCTGGGAAGAAATTGATCATGCGACAACGAGGTCACGAGCCGAAGACCTAGATTGGGAAGCGACATTGTTACAGTGGGAACCTGAGAGCTTGGAGGCAAGGGAATATCCCACAGGAGAGAATATTGTGGAGGTATATTGGCGGACTCTTTTAAAAGACTCATCGTTGTTGGACCCCGATAACGAGCACACGCACCAACTTTGGACTCGACTCAAGCACTGGACGTCATCCCGCAGAGGTCCCATTCGAAAGCGACTTAAACCAGATGAGATGTGCGACGAGATTTGCATGCTTAGGTCTTGTTTCTGGGTGTGGTCCAATCGCACGCTACTGCGCGAAGGAGTATTGGAGTTGTGGCGAAGTCCAGGAATTTCAGATCAAAGGTATTTAAACAAAAGTGCATCATATGTTTTGGAGGGAAATAAATTTAGGCATGTTCGTCAGCCCGGATGGCGGACGACGGACGATTCGTCCCTTGGAGAGGAGCTCGACATAACGATGTCAATGAGTGTCGTGAGTGAGATCCGCCCAATGCGTAGAATCATATACTCTCTACAGTGGTTCTTTGAACTGACAAACTTTCTTCCCAGGCCGCCGAAGACATCAATGACCGCTCAGAGAGTGAAAATAACAAGGCGTTGACGCAGGAAAGGGAAGAATCCGACCAGGAGACTGTGACGAGTGAAGACTACGACATTCTATGCGAAGACTGCACTCCGTTCACGAAGGATGAGCTTTTAGAGGAAGGTGGTCCATTTAAGATGAACTATCGCGATCGTTTGCGACACAGCACGCTCGGGTATATGTTCTTTACAACTAAGAAAGGCTATATGGGACTTGTACAAGGAGATGCATCACCTGGAGATCTAGTGGCCATCGTACAAGGCTCAGATGTACCGCTCATCCTCCGCCGACAGGCATCCGGCCTCGGAAGGGATGGAGAGGAGAGAATTTTCTATACATTGGTTGGGGCCTCGTACGTACATGGAATTATGGATGGGCAAGTTGCTGAGCAGTGCAGCTTGGATGAAGATAAGATATACCTTCAATAAACAAACACACACACACAATTAAAAAAAAGTTCTCCTCGATGGGGTGTGGTCAACCGTTGTGCCAGCTGCTAAGGGAGATACTGGAACACTTTGACTAGCCATCCACGTCCCTTTTGTGAAATAATACCTGCCTTTTCAAGTCATGGATGACAACTGGCTCGATGAGCTCGCCAATCAGCGCTGCCTTATTGGAGACCACACCATTGTTGTTGGGCTCATATCACTGTAGAATCAACTTCACTGCCCCAACAAGTGCCAAAGACAGTCCAATCGGGCAGCTTTCGCCTTGGCTCCGCGAACCGGTCTCGGGGGTCCCATGCTCTAGAGGCTCACCGTGCTCCGCTTTCTCGAGCGATGGCCCATTGACGGGTTTTAGACGGGGCAGGGCAGAGGAAATGGGCGTGCCGCTTTTCCATATTTTCGTTCTCCGACCGGTGACCGACCGAATTTGAGCCTTTGTTAGAGCGGGATCCTGCCGCTTTATACGTCGCATTGCGGTCATCGGCCTGAAAAACTGATAGATGGAGTCAGGAATATGACCGAGCCCCCCTTTTCATGTCGTGATCGTCACTCGCTAAAAAATAAGAGAAATCACGTAGTATAAAGGGTGGACGGCAATCTTCTCCTGTGGGGAATGAACGATGAATGATCCTTACTTGATTTCTAAAACATAAATCAAAGTGACACCATGGGTCGGCAAGCTGCCCTTACGAAGGCAGAGCTAACGCTCCATGATCAAGTCGAGATTCTGCCCAGGCAAAAACTCATCGCAGTATTTGGGCTTCTCGCGTTGACGGTTTTGATCAACTTCATCGATCAAAATGGCATCTCCGTGGCTCTCCCGACCATCGCCGCGGAGCTGGACGCCCGCGACACCATTTCGTGGGCTGGTACGGCCTCATTGCTTGCCAACACTACCTTCCAGATGCTATGGGGGAGACTCTCCGACATCTTTGGACGAAAGACGGTGTATATATCTGCGATCGCCCTCTTGTCTATCGCCGATCTTCTCTGCGGGCTGAGTCGAAACGCCACAAGCTTTTACATCTTTCGAGGTCTGGCAGGTGTTGGCGGTGGAGGCATCACCAACCTCGCCATGATTGTCGTCTCCGATGTTGTCACCTTGGAAAACAGAGGTAAATATCAGGGAATCATCGGTAGCATGGTTGGCCTAGGGAGCATCATTGGACCATTCCTGGCCGCTGCCTTCGCAGAAAGGTTGACCTGGAGAGGCTACTTTTGGCTGTTGTCTCCTTGCGCTGCCTTGTCGGCCGTGTTGACGTACTTCTATCTCCCGACGAAACCACGGACGGCATCGTGGCAAGAGAGTGTTAAGAAGGTAGATTGGTGGGGATCATTTGCTATCTTTGTTGGCATCGTCTTTTTGCTCATCCCTATTTCTGGAGGTAAATTTAATAATATTCCCTTCAAGGAGGTAATGAACTCAATGAATGAAATGCTAACCATAATAGGGGGTGCGTACTTCGAATGGAGGTCCTCCATGGTGATATGTCTGCTCGTTCTTGGGGGTATCTCGCTCATCCTCTTTGTCGTAATTGAGTGGAGAGTTGCGAAGCTCCCGATGATGCCAGGTAGTTATTCCCCCAATGTCAAACTGCCCAGGTCTAATATGTCGCAGTTGATATCTACAAGAATTCTGCGGTTTCAGCCATGCTCGTGCAAAACTTCTTGATGGGGGCAAGCTACCAGGCGGTGATATATTTCGTGCCGTTGTACCTCCAGAACGCTCACCAATTCTCCATCATCCAGTCGGCACTTATATGGATTCCTCTGGTCGGACTCCAGTCTGGAATTTCTATTTTGTCGGGCCTGTACATCTCTAAGTTCAAGTGTTACGGAGAGTGTCTTTGGTTTGGCTTTGGGATCTGGACTCTTGGGTCCGGCCTTTGTCTTTTACTAACGAGGGAAACACCAATTGGAATCATCATCATCCCTCTTATAGTCATGGGCATCGGCGTAGGATGCATCTTCCAGCCTATTCTGGTCGCCTTGCAGGCTCACTCTCCTAAGGCCCGACGTGCCGTCATCATCTCGAATAGGAATTTCTGCAGATGCGCAGGCGGCGCATGTGGTCTCGCCGTCTCTGCCGCGGTCATGCAGGCGAGCCTGAGGGCATCGCTCCCGGTCGAGTACGCAAACCTGGCCGGATCGACATTCACGCTTCCTGATTTCGATGGGGATATCCCAGCCGGGGTGCTTGATGCTTATATGGCAGCCAGTCACTCTGTCTTCATTCTTCAGGTTCCCTTGATTGGACTCTGCTTCCTAGGGAATTTCTTCATCCGGGACAGAGGGTTGGAGCTTCCAGACGAGAAGAGCCCCGTGCAAGAACAAGAGCCTGAGCAGGCCGGAGGGGAACGGGGCATTAGGATGGAGTTTGCGGAGAGCGATACAAATGCTGAGGCGGGAGTGAAAGGAACTTCACCATCGAAGTAGATGCTCTAATTGCTCTAGACCCAACGCTACAGGACAGCTGGTCATTTCCACCAAAAAAAAGGCAAGAGACTTTGAGATGCATGTTTTTACAGTTTACCGGCGAGTTTTAGGGCCATTATTGGAGATTAGATTAAAAGTAATTAATACTCAGTCAAGGCGGTGCGCCATCGGGGGTACGACCAACTTCTCATCGCATGAAACATGTAAAACATGGCAGGGAAATTGGAGAGCCCATTGGGAGAATACGCGAGGTATCACTATTATCATGTCACCGACATGAGTTGACCGGGCACTGTCACTCAATTCACGTGGGTTCCGAAGATGCGCTTTTCTTGTGTTTGCTCTCGAAAGGCAACTAAACAGAAGAGGAAAGGCCTCGAGAATGAGATCCTGGACTGTTCTCGGCTTAGTAACAGAGAAATGAATCCATGCCACCAATAGCCTGCGCCTGGGGTAGGGGCTATTTGCCACTGGCGTTGGTCGATGGAACGCTGCAAGGTGATTGAATGAAGCAGGGGAGGAGACCGAAGTCAGAGACTTGGCAGCCCAGATCTCCTCAGGCAGATGATGGAGGGCGGCCAATGCACAATGATGTATCTCAGTCGATCCCAAGGCCAATAAAGGAGCCGCAACAACGCGTCAATCCAGGATCATCGAGGCAGCCACCTATGTACGGCATCCTCCCTTGATATGGAAGCGAACTAGCCGCCGTATTTCTTTGATCCCCCCAAATTATGTGGGACCGTAGCCTGAAACATCAAGGGGATCGACATGGGGTTTGTTTGTGCCTCGCTTCGTGATAAGGGGTCCAACCGCCGCCTTCTCCATCCCCTCAGCTGCACTGCTCCTTTGAAGCATCACACGGCATTGTGCCCGTAGAGTACGTCCTGGGTGGTATCATTGAAGGCGATCCTCTAGCAACTGCATCCATTACTCGCCATGCCTATCCGCGTCAAGTCCAAGGTGCCACCGGGTGCCCAAGAGCGTGAATTCTCGCCTGGCCCGGTGGTCCGCATGGATTGGGAGCTCCCGAATGTTGGCCAAGACGATGCTTTCCAAACTGTCGTCGAGAACCTTTCCAAGTAGGCGTGCCCGACGAGTGACCCCTTTTACCTGCGCATCTAGTCTGACGTACCAAAAGCTTCTTCAACGACGCGATTGATCTACCCAGCTCTTTCGAACAGCTCCGCACCGCAGAGTCTTTGAAAATCCTCGTGGAGCATTTGAGTAGGACGTGTACCAACCCGGCCATTGTAAACGCATTGCTGTAAGTGAGCTGTAGTGGGAGGAAGGGAACATTGGCCATGTTCTTAGAGGTCAATTCGGCCATTCGTCTATTTAATTTTCACTTCGCTCAACCTTGTTTTCATCTAGGGCTCTTCGCTGGCATTATTCATGCGACACTGAGCATAGCGGCCTCAGTGAAGCGCGGTCAAACGCCTGTGAGATTGTCGCCTGGCGGTTCCTCACGCGTCTTTCAGAGCGAGATGCTGTCGATTACTGTCTTCACGAGATCCCCGGAAATGAAGCCCTTGAGGCCAACCCCACTTCATCACTTGGTCTGTTCGAGGATGATCCAAGTGAACAGTCGCCTCTTCTCCCTCATCGACGCCCATTTAGTGCCGGCACCTCTGGACTGGGTCTATCTACACGGAGATTTGAGCTTCAACGTGCCGTGCCTAAGATCACATTCTCTAGCAACGAGTCAGTTGAGAGTGGAGGTAGCCACTCTGGTGTCGGAGATTCCGCCAAGACCTTCAAGAGTTTGAATGCCCTTGAGATTGCGGGCATTGCCGGCGCTAAGCGCTTTTTGAGCCAGAATATTGTGCAAAAGATCATCACGAGCATCTGGGACGGTGAGATTGTCTTTTGGGATACTATTTCCGGTAACTCGGTCATGAAACCAAGGTACTATAACCCCAGGACAGCCGACCCGTACTCTCGACTGCGCGTGCCCAAGTATCTAAAAACCTGGGAAATCCTCTTCTTTATCGCCTTTCTCTGTCTATACTACTCGGTTGTTCTGAAGAGAGAGATGCACTCAATCCCATTTGTGGAGGTTGTATTCTACATCTGGCTTGCATCCTTCCTCCTTGACGAGATTCAGCAATGGGCAGATGCTGGCTTGTTTTACCTGTCTGACCTGTGGAACATCTTTGATATTGGAATGATTACGCTTGGAATTGTCTTTGCGATCTTAAGTATGGCGCATTTGTCCCTTACCCTCACCAATCATGCTGACCATTTCAATAGGAGTTGTTGGGATTTCCACTGGCAGGTCGAATATAAGCGAGCTGGCTTTCGACATATTGTCCCTGGAAGCACTTCTTGTCATGCCTCGTATCTTCTCCTTCCTAAGCTTGAACCCTTACTGGGGAACTCTGATTCCCTGCATCAGAGCCATGGCCAAGGATTTCATTAAGTTTATCATCTTAGTTATCATTGTGTACATGGGATTCCTGACGACATTCTCACTCATTGGACGAGACTCGTTCACGCTGCCGCACATCACCTGGTCTTTGGCCAAGATCTTCTACGGAAACACCGGTATTGCGTTCGAGATTATGGATGACGTGGACCCAACCTTTGGCCCGCCTTTGATGATTCTCTTCATCACGCTCAGTTCCATTCTCCTCACCGGCTCCTTGACCGGTATGCTATCGAATAGCTTTTCCCGCGTCATGACCCACGCTAGAGAGGAGTATCTTTACATCTACAGCGTCTATGTCCTCGAGGCATCCACCAGCTCCCGCCTCACACACTTCTACCCACCTCTCAACCTCATCTCTCTGGTCTTCTTCCACCCATGGCATGTTGTGTTTTCCGGGGACGATAAGTTCCGCCATAGCCGAGTTGTCGCTCTCAAGATTACACACTTCCCCTTCGTCGCCGTCATCTACGCCTACGAGTGGTTTTGGCGCAAGGCGTGCGACAACAAGGACCATGAGGAGTGGGCGAGGTACTCTGGCGGCCGAACCAGGAGCGACTCCGAGGCACCTGGCACGCGTCCTACCATTGGTCAGCCTCGCACGTCAGGTTCGCCGTACCGCGCAGCTTCTGGCACGTACAGGAGCCTCAACAGATATTTGGACACACGGTCCAGGTCGAGAAGTATCGGGAGCAACGACCGCATCAAGGAGGAAGACGAGGGACCTAGCAATGCGGAGCTCATGAAGCAGATTCAGAAATTGACGGAGATGGTGGTCGAGCTTCAGAAGAAGCAGAGTCAGAGTGCCGAGGAGGCCAAATCTTACCACCACCTTGACTGAAACCGAGGCGGTCGTGGATAAATATTCATGTGCATGATGATAGCGACATGGTTGCAAGATTATGAAATTGTTCTACTTGAGAGCTTGGAATTTAGATACTGCTAGGTGTAAGTGCGGTTGATTTGTGAATGACTGGCTGCAATGAGGAAATTGAGAATGTTTTGTAGGCCAACAAGTTTCAAAATAGGAGGGATTTCTCAATAGTTTGAGGATTTGTGATGAGAGGAGTTCTGAGTATAGCGAATAGGTTCAAATGAATTTAATACTCCCTCTACTCCATTCTGCCTACGCCTTACCTTACCTACCGGCTGTTCGTCCAACTCTCTCCCATACTTGGGATTTCTCGAACGCTACCTCAATCAATAAATGGCTCTGGACCCTCCATCATCATGAGTTTGGCGAGGCCCAGCGTCTCATTATCTCAGGTACTTATGAAAACTTATAATAGTGCTATAAAATGGTAACCGCGGAAGACTAGGCAAGGAATTTTCCTTTTGGCTAGTTTAGCGTAATCTGTGACAAGACTGTAATGTAGCCATCCAGTCGCCGATTAGGAAAGCTCGATAAATACAGAATGAAGGCCAAGAAAGTTGAAATTACTGCTATTGGTATTCCAGAAACAAAATCTAAAAGAAAAAAACAAAAACGATACATTGAAAGGACCCCCTGCTCGATACTTTTATCTAACTCGCCGCTGTTGTGAGTTCGTCTCCCGCCAACTGAAGTAAGATATCTTCCAACGCCCACCTACAAATGGCGCTCAGAGCCGGCTCGGATAATGGTCCGTCGTACCCATTCTGACTCAAGAATCTAGAAACTATCTCTCTACCATTAAATTCCCAGTAATCCCATGTAATTGATATTTTGACCTCGTCTTCCCCACTGAGATAGTGAGAGCGGGAAGGGCTTTCAGTGTCAGGGAAGGCAGTTTCCCAGATACGAAGCCAGCGCTTTCTCTCACCAAGTATAATCTTATCGCGTTTCCATAGCTTGGTTCTCTGAAAGCTGTTCACGCCCTCGACATGAACCCAGTTTCGGATCTCGCACGTTTGGGTAAGAAAATGCCGGTCTCGATCCATTGCCCGACCAAATGTCTGGCGGCAGCGTGGACAATATGGTGGCTCCGCGTGGAACCGGTTGACATGCCTGATTACATCCTCAATGGACTGCATATCATGTTCAACCAGGCATTTCCTATGTCTTGTAGGATCATTGACGTAAAACGGGCAGGCCAGATGGTAATATCCATCTGCTTTCCTAACCAGAATAGTATTTGAATCCTTTGGATCTTCCATTTGCTCGTAGAACATTTGGGGCTTGGATTGATCGTTTGATGAGCTGTAGCGGCTTTGGGGAGGCAGCCTGTCGTCTGGAGGCGCCACATATCGTGTTCGCTCCATCCGCTCCTTGATCTGGGGCAACGCCGCTTGTATCAAATCAGTGCGGATGCATTGATAGTTTAAACGTATGTCGTGGTCCAAAATTTCATGGGTTGTGTCTTCGTCTTCAGTATCAGACTGTGAGTCAGAGCCGCTGCTCGAGCTATCAGAATCATAACTGGAATCGGTGTCCTGATTACGGAGTGCCTCTTCCACTATTTCGTCCCACGAATATTTTCTTGCCGGATGGCAGTATCTTGGCTGGGAGCAGTGATAGTTTGAATTCTTGGTCACACCGCTAGGTTTGACTGAAGATTGAGTTTGTATTGTTCGGTAAGGCAATCTTCTGTTTGGTGTTGAAAATGGACTCCGGAGATTGGAAATTGAGGTAACAAGCCTTGGATGGTCTTGATCCTGTCTCACAGAAGCTCTCCTAGCCTTGTTGACAGACATTGCTGAAGTTTCTCAGAGAGTTTTTGCAGCAATTGCACGATATTCTTTCTTTACGCCAATAAATCTTGAACGGTAGGTCATCCGAAACTTTGCTCTGCGTAGTGGAGGAAATGGTCTATCGCCAGAAGTTGATTTATTCTGGCGGCGACTTCGTGAAGAGGACATTCAAAGATAATGAGATGAATCAACGTAAACTAGATTGTTGTGCTAGATCTAGGGGAGTTGTTGTGATGCAAACGTAGCTGCGACTTGTTTGGCGTCTAGCGGCAGTTTAATACAAACTTGCCGTCAGATCTTGTATCAAAATCCAGATGGCTCAAGTGAGATTATTCGCATATGTCCAGTGTACGTCCAGTAAAGGATTAGGTCTTACCAAGGCGTCAGGCGCCTTGCATCTGACGACCCCAGCTGCCGCTCTTGAACGCTAATTTGCAACCTACTACGATTAGGATTCGTGATGTGCAAGGAAATGTCCCAGAGATGCAGGTCCTAAACCTAATGCTGCTATTTCATTCTCGTGGCTCGATACCGGCCCCTGGAAGCGTGACCTGAATCGTGAATCACACGAGCAATGCATTCGTATTGGTTTCGAGACTTTCTGAGACTGCATACTTGACTCCTGAAATTTCGGGGCCTGCTCAATTGAGTTTGTGTGCCCTGAGAGCGGCCTGGTGATAGGCTGAACGGATCGTACGCAATTGTGTAGATGTTGCACATTCCACGCGCGTCCGATCCTCCACACAAATGTGATGCATGCGGTAAGATGATCAGCCGCACCGTAGAGATAAGGAGAACACGACGTGGCTTGAATATTTGGAGAATTATTACAGATGAGCAGCGGAAAGCTATCCGGCAGTCCAATCCTTGATCTCATTCGGTCCTTTCCAGATCCGCACGGGTGTGCTCGTTGGTTTGCGGACCAACATGACCCGTTCATCCTTCACAGTAGTGTCGTGGCTGCGGCACAACCCCAGAAATGATGACAGCTTTGGGGTCGAATGGCTGTGAAACTCCGATAGCCATGAACTCAATGGCTTAAATGTCGCCCCCGGATTGGCTTCAGACATGGGGGACGGATCTGGACTTACAGTACAGTTACTGCATGATATCTGTCACAGTAAGCCCTGAAGTTTTCGACCAGTCCTCAATGGCAAAACAAAAGTGTGAATTAGCAAGCGGAAAAAAGAAATGAGGGGATTGGCCAGCCCATATCTTTATGCAGAACTGAAGATGCCTGATACTACTCGAACACTAGCTAGCATATACAACTTCACAATTTCAGCCTACCTCCCATCATTGGAGGCTGATGTGAACAAGTTACCGAAAGAGACATTTCCTGGAATTCTGCGGCCAACGCAGAGTTGATGGTCCGCCTCATCATAGAAACCTACTCCCACCCATCGTCGCCTTCTTCTGATCCATACCATCCTCCGTGCCTCTCGGTCATGTGTCCGTAGATATCATTCGGAACTTCCTCTCCGCAAAAGAAACACCATTCGGTGGCACAAATGGTGCAGCTTATGTGGTCGCACCCTCCATCCTTTTCAGTCTGTACGCCGCAGCCCGGACACTTCTTCACACGGAGTCCTGCCTTCTTTCCAGGTTCGCGGCCCATACACTCGTCACAACACCATTCGCTCACAGGAGGGGGCGCACCGGCACCACACGCTCGCTCCATGTACCGGCTCGCCTGACTGCAGTACAGGCACCAGGCGTAGATCCAACCGTTGTCCTCCACCGCAGTCTTCAGATTCCCCAGGGCGCGGAGATTCTTGGGAAGGACCTTGGGGGAGGGCTGTCGTCTACAGAATGGACAGCTCAGAGCTGCAAGATTCAGGATCTGGCCGTGAGAGTTTGAGCCGTACCAGCCATCAAAGCAGGACTTGCATATCTGCTGGTCACAGCCGCGGCGGCCACAGGCACTTAGCAGATCGGACTTTCTCATGTTGTTGAAACATAAGCTGCAAGTCCCTGACTCAACCTGACGCGATTCAACCCACGATCGCAGTGATTCAATGATCACACCAGAATTTCGCACCAGCTTTCCCTGAACGGTAAGTCGTGGCATCTCAATGCTGCCATCCTCGTTTGTTCGGCGAGGAAGGACCTCAACCTTGTCCGCGAATCCCTCGATGCCTGCATTCGAGATTGCGTAGAAGAGTGATCTGTTGTTAAAAGGCTGCGCAATCTTCTTTTCATCATTGCGTAAAAGCCAATCAAAGCCATTCTGCTCCTGGTTAGCAAGCTGTTCTGGCGTCGTCTCGACCTCAATGATAGTTGCAATCCGCTCCGTCTGGCAGGCCATGCACTTGAACTCGTTTTCGTTGAATTGTTCAGAGCGATACTTCACCGGCCAGATGACCCGGCTCAAACAATTCTTGCATTCAACACAAGGCGCAGTCGTGCAGGTATCTCTTTCGGGGTGATTCTTAGGCATGAGCCCGTCCATTCGACAGTACCAGCATTTGGGACGAACATTGAGCTTCCCTGCATTGTAAACGACGTACTGCGCTCGGCAGTACTTCATTGAGCACTCCACCCAAGTGGCCGTAGTCTTCTGGTTGTCCTGTTTAGAGACCTGAGTGTTGATGTACGTATGACGCTCTTCCTCTGTTTTGTAATCGGATGCGCAGAGACCGCATACTCCATTCGGATTCATCATTGTGACGGAACGAGGGAACTTGCAGGATGGACATTGCACGACTGGACCAAGGGAAATCTTTGACTTGCTTGGCTGCCATCCAATCTTGGCAGTCAGAGTTGTCTTCAAATTCATTTCCAGCATCTTGTAATCGACGAGAGATTGGAACAGGCGTCGGTCTTCCTCTGCGAGAATGCTCTCGCTCGAGTCGGTGGATGCATTTCGGCTGCGATACGATTTGTCTGCCTCTAGAAGCAGTCTCAAACAGCTTGTGTTCCATGTCTCAGGAATATCCAAGGTGTTCCACTTGGAGTATGCAAGAAGCTCGGCATCAGCTGCTTCCTCCAAGGGCTTGATACCCATCCGCAAGCTCAAAGCAGCTAACAAAGCGGCTGGACGTGCCGAAAGCTTCGTCCCTGGAAGCACAGTATGCAGCAAGACCTTCCAGAACTGCCGCTTGTATTTCTCGGATACCAGCACCAGAGGGATTCGTGGAACTTCTGACTCTGAAGCAGCCTTGATGTGCTCTGGCATGTCTTCTTCACGCAAAACGTAGGTAAGGCGCGCCATCACCTTGCCGAGCCGACCAAGAATCCGACCATCACAAGACCGGCCAATTTCCATCAATTCATCTCGGGTAAACTTCAATGAAGCCTGGACTCTGTTACCGTCAGAGTCCATTTCCGTGAATGATACGGTTGGATCAAGGAAGACGCAAGGGAAGCGCTTCTTCTCTGGAACCGACTCAATGAGTGCCGTGATCTCTCCCACGTAGTCATAGGACGATTCCAGCCAGGCTTTCATCTTGGCCTTCAGATCTGGGAAGACGATGTTGTTGACTTGTGTGCCAAACATCTCGATGAGTTTGTCTCGGTCTTCCCCATCGCGGTCATTACAAACGGTCCTCCATAGCGTCCCAAAAACCGGGTTCACAGTCATCGATACCACGTTTGACTGAATGATCTCGGCTAACTGCTTCGAAACGGTGCCGCGGTAATCCTTGTCCGCAGAATAGCGCTTGGAAAAATCCATGGGAGGACTGTCCTTTCCATTCTCCTGTCGCCGTGAGATTTTGTCCTTCATGTTTTCGAGGGTAAGCGGTGTGGCGATCAAATTTCCCTTCACATAATTGCAGTACTCCTTGTTGTCAATCTTGACAAAGTAGGTTCTGCTCAGCTCATCCTTCTCCGAGGCGACGTCGTTGATTGTGCTGACGTCCTTGTAGTTCACCACAGAGCCTATCTTGGCGGAACTGGCTGCCTCGGCGCCGTTCTTCTCGGCGCCCATCCAGGTGAGAAGCACGTTGATTGTCAGCGAGGAGATGGTCTCGGGTGTGGACACATCTGGAATCTCCACACATGTGCCTCCGGTGAAGTGGTTCAGGAACAAGTGTGCTGATAGAGTATCGGCAAGAGTGGACTGGATGACGCTGATGAAAGTGGCCTTTTTGGGGCCATCGCGAAAGTGCTTGGATACCGACACCCAGTCAAGGAACTCAGGCCCAGTGCCGTAGGCGTCGGTCTTCAGACGCTCTATTTCAGATGCGCGGTATTTCCCACCCTTGAGTACAATGTCAGCTCCAAGATCGGAATGCATTATTTGATACACATGGCTGAACATACCGTGGCTGGGGTGTGAGGAGGAGCGTCCGCATATAGCAGAACCAGCGTCTTTGCGTCTTCCTGCATTACTGAATAGGCGTGTGCGAGGCCCGTCTTCACAGCCTCGGGCCAATCGCCGCCATGCTCCGGACGTAACTTGGTTGTAAAGTCAAGCAAATCACTCTGCTTCAATGGGTACCCTTGACCGAGCCATCTAGTCACCCAGACTGTTAGAACCTAGATGCGAGGAGTGTAGCGAGGGAGTTCTTACCCGGACCACTCAGTCAGCTCGCCTTTGTAGTAATCGCGGTAGGCCAGAACGCCTATTCTCTCAAAACAGCCGGTGAGGGCCGAGATGCGAATTATTTCTGGCAGTGATTTGTTGAGGGAGTGGAGGTAGCCGCCCATAGATGCAGTTGCATCGGTCAAGATCAATAGGTCATGCTTCTCTCTCATGATTCGCAGCTGGCCGTGGGCAACGTGCCACGTCCGTTTCGTTATCTAAACCGTAGATGAACGGAAGAAGCTGGAAAACAAAAACAGAGGAAAGTTGGTGGTATTTGTGCTTTTGCTTTTGGAGTTGGAGTTGGGGAAGTCACAGGCCAGAGAAAGTCTGAGTCATGCCGAAACTCTGAGCCAACAGAAGAGACATGGCCTGACATAAGCCTGCCTTATCTAGCTATTCCCCCTACAAACTAAATTCAATTCCCCAGGTTAACGGGCTAATGAGCGGCTGAAGAGCGTATCCCTACGAGGCTTAGTTCATTAGTGCTGCGACCATTTGTGATGATCATTTAGCTGCCAGGCTGTGTTTCCAATTACGAGCCCCTTTCCATGGTCAAATTCCGCCACGAAGTCTGCCTAGCCAAACTAGAAAGAAAGGAATCTTCGGCTATTAGCGAAGATTCAAGTTTGGCAAGTTGAAAGCTTTGTCGCCCAGGTGTTCTATCAGTATACCTATTTCTTGCGCATCTCTTGCGCCTACATGGGGATGACTCAACGTTGTAGCGGCACAGCTTAAATTTATCCAGGGCGATGAACAGGCATTTACTAATTGTTTTTCTCGGTTATCTCATGCTTAGTGGTCTCAACTCACTTTCAGTGCAGGAACGCTGGCAGGTGTTGAGTCACAGCTAGGCCCTCGACCATCAGGCTCTTTTAAAGTTCCTCGTTGTCTGTCCAACGGCCAATCTTCTCCAACTACCGAGGTTCATATTTCTTTCTACCATTTTGGTTCAATTCCGTCATTCCTAGTCACTCAGAGTGCAGACAGAAAAGCTTGTTCAATAGTCGCCATTCGGTTACAAGTACGCCGTCCATTTTTGACCAGAGTGTCGTACTTCAACCTACCTACCCCTAAAATTATCTAATTGATAGGTATTAGACTCTCTTACCATAGGTAGTATACTGAGTCGGGGCCCACTTGTCAATTCGGCCGGGTTAGATAAATTGGCTATTTTTCCGTATCCGTAGAAAAAGACATGCTTTTTACCCCTTCTTATTTTCGCTTTCAAAAATCCCTTCTTACGAAAGATGCGTCTTTTGCAACCTCACGGCGGCTACGATAGGTCAATTGACTAGCTGCAAACGTGATCCATTTGATCAAATGAGGATATACACAAAACTTAAAACCTCCTTTTTATAACTATTGTGGAAGGTTGTTAGATTTCGGTGTGTTGGCAGTCTGTATTTCAAGCTCGCTAACAGCTGTGGTGTTGTTCGTTTTTCCCCCAACACAATACCGAGCGCCAAGACCCTCGGGATTCCATCTCACTTTGTAAAGCGAAGGGCTGTACAGGAATGGCTACCCTTCTAAGCATGCATCTCCGCAAAAGGAGCCCTTAGTCGTCTACATTGTGGCTTGCGAAACCGAGAAGAGGGTGAATGCCAGAAGCTTTTCCCTTCACAGCAGCCATCTCATCAGCGTGCTCAAGCTTGCGTGTTTCTGGTACGTAGTTGGTACTCTTTAGGAAGTCAAGAACGAGATCTGTCCGCATATACCTATGGTTACGTACGAATGTTTGAGATACGATAGCATGACGGATAACTCGGTATGTCGTGGGCTACGAAGGAGACCTGGAGCTGATAGCTATGGGTGCCAACGGCAAGCAGATCCGCGAAACCGAAACAGATGGTAGGTGGGGGCGGGTGTCGTCTTAAACGGAGTCAACAACCCGTCAAACCGTCGATCAATATCGATTTTTCGAGGATGGCATGACGCTCTAAAGAGTTCCCTATATTTATTGTACGTGAAAAGCGTGTTGCTTTTACATTGCCTGGTGGGTGGAGAAGGTCGGGATATCTCGCCTATGATGATTTTGTAAACGGAGAGTGCTTTAATACGCCACTGCTTTGCACATGGGATGATTGTGAAAATATTGAATATAGTATATCAGTGTTGAAGAATTATTCAGTTTGCTTTGATGTGCTGCGGCTGCATTACACGCGTAAATCTTCGGCATCTGAAAAGCCCCGAGCCACCGGCTAGTAAAAGTGGCATGGCACGTAATCTGCAAGTGCGCTATCAATGCAACTATGACAGCCTTGACACCTGCGTATTAAGTGTGGGCCGAGACTGTTTTTGCTGATCATTACACGGTTCTGTATTGGTGAAACCCAGGATGCTACCTTGTGGATGCTACCCATCTGGTTTAATTTAGAGGCCGAGACCGAAACCGAGAACGAAGATATACGTAGGCTAAAAGGACCATGGCAATCTAGGAGCATTGGAAGTTATAAAACCAATTCCATCTGCCGTGGGATCTAGCCTTTATTTTCCGAAAGTGCTATCTACAAGACCCATCCCGAGTAGACCCAGAGAAAGGGGATAGCATCTCTTCCACGTCCATATTCCTCAGCCAACACGCCCAACATTCCCTAGAGCAACTAAGACGATATTAATACTTCGACCCTCACTACTTTCACTGTCACAGAAGAAGCTTTTCGTCATGTTGTTACCAATCGGGATAGGTAGTGCCATAGGCCTCCTCTTCGCGGCTGTTGGTCTATCCAAACCTCCCAGAACTTCATCACCTCGCTTACACATCTGCTAGATATTTGCCTATATCACGGCCTACCTTGCCTACAACGCATGGTTCAACCCTCTTCGCAAGTACCCTGGCCCGCTCTTTATGCGTGCAACAAGACTAGGGTACCTCTACAAAGCGTTCAAGGGCACACTGCCGTTCGATATGCTGGATCTGCACAAGAAGTACGGCCCTGTTGTTCGCATCGCTCCTAATGAACTTGCCTTCGCCGATCCTGCCGCTTGGAACGACATCCAGGGTCACAGAACAAAGGGTCAGTTGGAGTTTGAGAAGGCGCAGCTCTTCTATCGGCCCATCGACTCTATGGAGATCGATATTATCAGCGCCGATCGCACCGAGCACGGGCTCCTCCGGCGCACGCTTTCCCATGGTTTCAGTGACAAGAGTCTTCGCGAGCAACAGCCCCTAATTAAAGGATACATTGACAAGTTGATCGAGAGGCTGCATGAGAATAGCAACGGCGGGTCAACTACGATCGATATTATGGCTTGGTACAACTTTACAACATTTGATATCATTGGAGATCTCGCTTTCGGAGAGCCATTTGGATGCCTTGAATCATCTGACTATCATCCCTGGGTCCGTATTATTTTTCAGATGGCCCGGGCCGGCGTGGTGTTGCAGGCACTAGGTTACTACCCAGCCCTCAAGAACTTTCTTCTCAGCCTAGTTCCCGACTCAGTTCGCGAGGGAAATCAACAACACGAAGAGCTTACCAACGAGAAGCTCCGGCGACGAATGGACCTAGGGGTTGAGCGCCCGGACCTTATCGAAGGCCTCCTGAGGAAGAAAGATGAATGGGTGAGTGCCTCGAAGAAAGTTTAATCACCAGGATTGCGAGCTAAGACACGTTTTAGGGTTTGACCATGAGCCGCCTCTCATCAAATGCCGGCAAGCTGATCATCGGCGGCAGCGAAACGACCGCAACACTGCTATCTGGAGTTACATACTACTTGGCAATGAATCCTGCGGCTCTAGAAAAGGTGACGAATGAGGTTCGATCCACATTTAAGACGGAAGACGAGATCGATTTCAGCAGTGTCAACAATTTAACGTATATGCTCGCATGCCTGAATGAGGCTTTGAGGATGTACCCACCTGTCCCTGTTGGCCTTCCACGAGTAGCACCAAAGGGCGGCGCCGATGTGTGTGGCCATTACGTGCCAGAGGGCGTAAGATGATCCTAACTGCTTCTCGTGCGAAGTTACTCATTTGCTAACATTTTACCAAGACCGTTGTCGGAATTCACCAATGGGCCTTATACCATAATGATAAATTCTTCAAGGATCCTTTCAACTTCCACCCTGAGCGGTTCCTCGGGGACAGCGCGTTCGAGAGCGACGTCCGAGAGGCGTTCCAGCCCTTTCATGTTGGACCACGAAACTGTATTGGGAAAAAGTGAGTACAGCGCACTCTTTCATCTCAGATTCTTTTGTTCGTATTACTAACCTCAATTTCATAGTCTGGCATACGTAGAGATGCGAACAATTCTTGCAAGAGTGTTATTCAATTTTGATATGCGACCTACGGACGCTACTAGCGGATGGGAGAAACAAAGGGTATTCAACCTGTGGGAGAAACCGCCACTGCCTGTCTATTTGACATCTGTCAAACGCAGCTAGGTTTTGAAATTCGGTTCGATATGAGAGGTGTGGCCATTTGCTTCTGTCACTGTATGCTTTCTTTAGACTACGATCAACAGCCCGTTCACTGAATTATAACAAAGGGGGTTTCTTGAAGATGATATGGAGTTTTCATGTTGTTTGAATTTGTGTCAGCTAAATTACCTGTTTCAAAAAGGTACATTTTCATCAAGCAGACTCATAAGTTGTTGATTCCCTTGAAACCAGTCGTCCAAGTTATCAAAATTAGAAATGCTCTCTTCAAAACCCTTTGCATGCTCCATCACCATCTCGATGCTATTATCCACCAAGCTCGCTTGCGCAGCTTGCAAAGGATCCTCGTTGAGTGAGGGGAGGATTTCGGATGGATAAAGAGCATTGGTTCTCATATAGAGCTGCGCGGCCTGGCAAAGTAGATCGTAGAGTTGATGGGGATGTGTTATAGATTCTGATCCAGTTGGAGGACATAGAGAATCTGTGAAGCGTTTCAATCGATCCAAATCAGCCACATCGTGAAACTGGATCACGCGCGTGAATAGGATGGTGAACGGAACAAACGGCGTGTTTACAATTGCCCTATTATTCAAATGTCAACTCCCGGTGTTTATGGCAAACATACTAGCATCTCACTTACCAGTTAATATACTTTCTGTTCATAGAGCAGCCAATTCCACGTTTCTTTATGCCTGTAATGCATTTGTGGTGAATATCGAATACCTCGCGAGCAGCAGCTACGTAGTTGTTTATTGAGCCATCCAAAGATCCCAGGGGAAGAGGTACGGCACGTAGAATGAGTGTCAATAACGAAGTTAAGCAGACCAAGTCGCACTGCAGATGATAGTCCCGCAATGGGTCCAACAATACACCACGTTCATCACTTGCCTCCACGGCCTAGCGTGCCTATCAGTGAACGTCGCAACTGAAACTTGGAAGATCACATACATTAAGTTCGGTATATGTTTCCGCAATCAAACTTCGCAGTTGCTCAGCAAGCTGCTCCGCGTGATGGATCCGCGTACTGTTGTTTGCAACAGAAATGGCCGCTGGGCTATACAGCTGCTCATACACGTTACCTTGAATCCTTGCCACTCGAACGGGTCTCGGTAAATTTTGCTCGAAGGGCAGTGTTATCTCAGTGTCAAGGATATTCGGTGCCCGACCAAAGCGAAGAGATAGCCCTTTATCAAGCCTATAAACCGACCAGAACAGTCGTTCCTGAGAAGCTCGATCAGGATTTATTGTTCCTCGAGATCGGCCTGGTGGGCTACGGTGGTAACCAAGAGTTTGACACTGAGTTGATGCAACGGATATAAAGCTCCAAGCTAGCGAGGCCTTGGAGTTTTCAACAGCATTGAACGCCTGGAATTGGTCAGCACTGGATATCGTTAATCTAGGGATAGTCATACATACCCCAAGCATCAGCGCAGCTATAACTTCCATGGATGACGGCAAAAGAAGTGGGAGTCTCTGGAAAGCCTTGAACATGTTCCTTTCACAAAGCTTACCGTATTCCATGTAGTCTTCCCGTCCAGACCCAGCCGCATGCTCGTAGAAGATGTAGTACATATACCCATTAGAAAGAATAAAATCTATTTCGTTGAAATCGTCGACTGCAAAATAAACCTTCCGACAAATGTCGGCGAATCGGTCAAGAGGAAGTACATGCGACATCCGAGACACAGTTGCATTGGTCTGATGGGCTGTTTATGTTAGAAGAAGCACCCATCACGGTGGAATCAGGGAACCAACCTTGAGCCCAACGCAGTATGTCCACTGAAGCAGCCAATGGTGGCATCTCAGAGTTACCTTCTGGTGCTGGAGCCATGGCTTTTGGAATGACCAAGTGTTTAGGATTTTCAAGGCTCGTGAGAAGAGTTTTCATGGATGATACCACCTTACCACCTTCAGTGCCGACATATGCAGGCTCTATGTGTTCCACAAATGTTTTGATAAACTCGATGATGTGTGCGGAATGATCCCAGTGGGTATTGCTTCCAGGAGCGCACAGAGACACCCCCTGGGATCCATGTTTCACCGTCTCCAGTCGATTATCAACTGATATCACGCTCTTGTCGGTTCGATTTTCAGTGGGACGTGGTGGCCTGTTTGTGGCCTGAAGGAAAGCTTGGATGGCATCGACGCCCTTTGAAATGTCGTTGATTTTCTTTTCACTAAAAAAATCTTTAAGACAAGATTCCTTCCCTGGGAACTGGAACAACGTACTACTCTGCTGATATTAATACTCTCTGTCTCGAAGCTTTAGTGTTGGATGCCACAAGACTGTAAGTACAATTTAGTCTTGACGAAACGCAGCTTGAGCAGGGCGATGTTCTTTCGCAGGCTATCTAAATTGACGCTATCAGTCATCTTGCTACGTTTATGGAATGAAAAGAGACAAGGCAGCGTACCTTTCGAGTCCGGCACTGATCACACTAGTGGAGGAACGTTAACGCAAGTTGATTCCACAATCCGGAAGCAGAAAGGCTTACAGAACGGCGGGGAATCGCCAGTCGGGCCTGCGACGTTCCGTTAACATCTTCGCCCATATCCATTCTGTCTTGTTTGTTTGAGAGGTTCGTGATGTAAGCCGGTTAGGAGAACAGTGAGACGGAGACATCGGGCATCCGCGGGTTTCCGAATGAGGAGAGACTCACCTTTTAAACAAGCTGACCAAAACAGTGGGGATCAGATGACAAATGTAAAGTATGCTGCCACTGAGCTTGCTTTGATTGGCCACAACTAGATCCAACTCTGTCAGCGGTATTGCGCGGGATTCCGGCCGGCTACTAAAGCGTTAAGTAAACCATGACCTTAGTAATTCGAAGTGCCAGGACGAAGACGTGCTATCAGACAGAAAAACAAATGACGGGCTATAAGTATTCGATGAATCTACTTCTCTCAACGAATTCCAGCCTAATACATTCCGATATAGTATCGAGTTAATTCAGCTATTACATCACTCGCAATTTTTTTCAAATCACAACATGGCTCACGTGAAGAATGTTCTTGTGACCGGTGGCGCCGGTTTCATGTAGGTCTCTGACTTATACAGTCGTTTTTCGTTGAAAACTAACCTGAATCTAGTGGAGGCTCTGTCGTAGCCACCCTTATTGCCAGGACCACCGCTCCAGTCAAGGATATTAACATCAGCACCATCATTCGCTCGGACGACCAAGCCAAAGCACTGTCGAAGCTTGGCATCAATGTCATCCAAGCGGATCTTTCCGATGAAAAGGCCATTCTGGACGCTGTGCTTAACAACGAGAGTAAGTTGACCGGCTAAATGATTTTTCAATCTACTGATTTACAATTGTAGTTGATCTTATCGTCCATGCGGCCAGCTCTTTCGTTTTGCCTCTTGGCCTCAACCTTGTGAGAGCCCTTGGCCAGCGAGGCAAAATAACCGGCAGGAAGACGTACTTTATCAACGTAAGTACATCTAGTCCCAGTATTTGTTCACGTTCGCTGATTTTCTAGTCATCAATTACCACCCCATTCTCTGAGGATGGGGGTTGGCCTGAGGGAGAGGTCAAAGATACTGACAATTTGTACGAAACAGAGAAGCAGATCAACGATGGCCATCCCGTTCGCATCGTAAGTGGAGTATATCGCCAACTCCTCATTTCTTATACGCAAACAACTAAACTTCCAGTAGACCGACATTGGCCTCGTGGAAGAATCCAAGGCACAAGGTGTCGAATTTTTCAATGTGGCTGTTCCTGTTGTCTGTGAGTCAGGTTCCATATTAGCCATGGGAACGTGTCGAGATATTGGAGACGCTAACATCGAATAGATGGAAGAGGCAGCGGAGAGTGGAAAAAGCTGTCTACGAATATCCCTGCATTCGTTCGAAAGAGTGTCGAGAAGAAGGTGGTTTACAAGTTTGAGAAAGATGGAGTATGTCCAAGTCTTATTTCCCCTCCACTTAAGAGACTCCCAGTCCCATCTTGTCAAGAGGCAGCCAGTTTTGTCTCACAATCAGCAAACAACGTTTTGACTAAGATACTGACAGTTTTGCAGAACCCCCCTGCAATCCATGTTGCCGACTTGGCCGACCTGTATGTCGTGCTTGTAGAGAAGATTCTGAAAGAGGAACCAATCCCTAACGGGGCAAACGGCTATTATTTCGGTTTTGCTCACAGACTTCCTTGGTGGAAGACAATGGAGCGCATTGCCGCCGGTCTTCATGCCCGAGGCCTGGTAACAACGCCAACAGCACAGGTCTGGCCAAGTTGGGAGGAGGCTGCTGAGCAACTCAAATGGCCAGTCCAGCATATTCATGCTATGGGTGCAGCGACGTATGTGCTCTATTCTTTCTGTAGAAAACCATAACTAACAAACTGCACAGCGGGCAACAAGTTGCCGTGAACCCGTACTTGCTGGGATGGCAGCCTAAATGGAACCAGAAGAGGTTCCTGGATAGTATCGACGATGAGATTCAAGCCGCATTGGACGACAAGCCCCTGAAAAGCACTCTCTTCGACACTATCCTGTGAATAGATGAGACTCGGTGCTATCAGGCCGGATCGCAGCCTGTTGGGAAGATGTCGTTTATTGCCTCAGAGTAGTCAGATTATTTTAGGAAAGGAGTTTGTTTATTTATAATATTTTTAAATTCGGCAGTATCCTCCTGTCAGTTCAGCACGTTAGAAATGGTTGAGATGGTGGTTTTGCTTGGCTAGCAGTGATCGATAAAAATTGAACAAAAAGTGTTTGGTTGAGCGAAAATCATCAACAACAAGCATCAATAAATCTCTATGTCTATCAAAATAGCCCCAAATCGGTTCAAACTCTGACTTGTCTCGCCGCATTCACAGTGGCTCAGCTTAGTTTCGCCTCTTTCCTTAACTAGGTACCTACAACCAGTTCAAAGGCTGTCTATAGGGTAGGCTGGAAATATGTCATAAATGCGACCTGAGAGGCTCACCCCTGTCACTCGACTGTAAGCTCCTGCACGAGGAAGGGAGCCAAGCCGCGAATAAATAATCTCCAAGATTCCCTCCTGTTCTCCGATTCTTACTGCGAATTTTTCGGCTGACGACTTACACCACAGCTGAGGGATCGTGTTCTGAAGTGATGAAAGCCTAAGTATCGATTTCGTTCTACTCGAGCGCGACATGTCGGACCCAGACATTTCTATGGCCAGCCTCCATGAACTAGTGCGGGGGTCTCAATTACCGACGACATTCGAGTCCAATGGCCAGCTCATCATCCACGCCCGCTCAGCACGTCGCCGAGCGGCCCAGGAAAAATGGATCATCAGGAAGAGGCTTGGTAGTGGAGGCCAGGCCTACATCGATCTCCAAGAGAGGATAAGTGCTGGATCCGGATCCCCGCAGCTGCGTGCCGTTAAAAATCTCAAAATACCTGACGGTCGTCGAGAGGGGAGCCGGGAGCTCTACCGACGTGAGCTGGAAGCCATCGCCAAGTTCTCCCAAGCGAAGGTTTGCCCAAGGAACTTGCTTCCATCACTGAGCTATGTTTGGTTGCTAATACAATCATCATATCGTAGTACTCGGATCACTTCGTCACCTCTTTTGGTTGGTTTCTCAGTTCACAAGTCTGCCTACCTCTTTCCAATACAGTAATACCGTGGCTAACGTTTTGTTTCTTACGTAGTTCATCCATATCGCTATGGAGTATTGTGAATTAGGGGACCTTGATAAATATCTTTGCAACCCCAGTAACTGCCCAGATCGCCGATTGCCGAAGTCAGAGGTACATGAAATTTCATCACAAATCCTCGAGGGTTTAGATATCATGCACCGGGAGTCTTTTTGTCACAGGGATCTGAAGCTTGCTGTGAGTTTTTCCCCCCACAATTCTCCAGCCGCTGCTTGAGGGAAATCTGACCTTTCCTTCTCAGAATATTCTGATCATGAGCACATCCCCTTCTTGGTGGGTCAAGCTGGCGGATTTTGGTTTGACGAAAAGGATTGAGGCCACCATGCCCGAAACCACAGCGATACGTGGAACTCCCAACTATATGCCACCGGAGCTTCTTGGATACAACGGTAACGCAAATAAAGCAGACCAATACGCCGTAGATATGTGGTGCCTGGGTCAATGCGTCTTCAGACTCTTCACAGGAATACCTATATTTGCAAGCCCCAACCATCTCTTCCAGTACTCCCACGGTGAGGAGAGCTTCCCGGAGTTGCCGTTGCAAAGATGCGATGCAAGCAAGAGTCTGATTGATTACATCAAACAACTTGTCGCAGTTGATCCCGGCGAGCGTTTGTCCTCGGCGAATGCATTGAACCATCCTTGGGTCACATCGGGGTACTCCAATGACGAACCCAATGATAAAAGATTCTCCCAAGACTATTTTACGGAGGAGGACACAGAGGCTTCCGCAGCCTGGCCAGAGGACTCATCAGATGATGTGGAGCCTCGAGAGAGCAGACAATATGGTTCTGAACATTCGCCTGAGTTTAGCGTGGACGAGCCATCAGCTGTATGGCCTGCAGATGAGACTGCAGAAACTGCCTTCGTGGTTGAAAATACCGAACCGGGCCAAGAAGTCCCTCTCACATTGGTGAAAGGGGATCTGACCGCTACCTGGGAGGCGGGCGAGACAGTCCGGGCCAACCTCAGCACCGACCGGGGTGGTCAAGACACCGATACAGCTATAATCGATGATCCAACACCCAATAAGGTCCTGATCGCAGAAAATCACAAACTTTCTGGGAATGGGTTCTATGGAGACAAGAACTTTGATAAGGCTGTTGAGGAGTATAGCAAAGGTGAGCAAAATAGCCTCTCAATGTTACCAGCAAAGGTGTGTGGAAGATAGCTGACTTCTTTGCTGTGAAGCCATTGAACTGTTCCCCTCCTCGCCAACTTATTTAGGGAACCGGGCTGCTGCCTTGATGTCGAATGGGAAATATCAAGAGGCTTTAATTGACTGCTTCAAAGCTCTGCAGGTCGCCCCTGATAGCAGAAAGCTACTCGTGCGTCTTGTTCACATTTATACGGCACTCGGTGAGGCAGATAAAGCTGTTCACTGGTTAAAACTCATAAGCAACCCTGAACCTACGGAGGAAGAGGCCATGGCAGCAAAGGCGATGCATCGTGACCATAAACTTGCGATGGACTTGATCGGACAAAGTGAGACGACTTCCATTGAGAGCATGCAGCTAGTAATCAGCGCATTGGACAGGGCCAGGAAGTATCAATCATTGTCGGCTCGCCTCCCTTGGGATTGGCAGGTCACCCTGGCTCTAGCTCATCTTAACTTGAATGGCCTTGAGTTGGATACAGAGAAACGAGCCGCTTCATTGGAAAGGGCGCAAACTGCAATCGACTCAATACGTGACTCCGACGAGTACTACCACAGTGAGGCAATTTTCTTGTACGGGCGTCTGTTATATTGCCAAGGACAAGACGAGAATGCTATTCAAACGCTCGAAAGGGCAACTCGGGCCTCTTCTTACTGTTTCTCTGAGGAAAGATGCGTCCCCTGCAGAGATGGAATTAGATGGCTTGGTATCGCACGAGAACTCTCTCAACTGAAAGAACAAGGGAATAATGCATTCAGAGCACACGACTGGATCACGGCTAAGGACTTCTACAATAGGGCATTGAAGGTCGATCCAACTAACAGACTGACCAATGCAAAGCTCTACCAGAACAGAGCTCGGTGTTACATCAGGTTGGGCTTCTACTACAAAGCCATCGACGACTGTACGAAGGCAATTGATCTTGATCCTACCTACGTCAAAGCCCAAGCAACGAAGGCAACCGCTACTGGGCTGTCTGGATACTTAGGTGGAGCGTTGGAAGAATGGAAGTTGGTGAGAAAAATGAGTCCCGGGGACTCTCAGGCCATCAAAAACATACGAAGCCTTGAATCAGAGCTAGCTGACCCCCAGAGAGCCACCCTCGACGAAAGGAAGGCAAAATACGGAGGTAATGTGAACCCAATTTAACCGTTGCTGATAAGGCGTCTAACTCGAAATAGCGGACCATTCCTTAACCATTCAGGCCATGGAAGCCCTTGTCGACTCGCTTTGCAACCAGGAATTACATCAGGAGGCTGTGGTGATCCAGAAAGAGATCTTGGAGATTGAGGTGAAGAGGGCGGGCACCAAGAAAAATGAGAGGGTTCTCAGTGTTATGGGCAATATCTGCTGTAACCTGTCTCTTGCTGAAAAGTACCAAGAGGCGCTGCCAATATGCCGTGAGGTGTTTGAGTTGAGACAAGATCACTCGGGCCTTGAGAACGCTGCTACTCTCGCAAGCATGCATGATCTAGGCTCTGTCATGGTATCGCTTAAACAGTATGCGGATGCAGAGCCCTTATTCATAAAAGCCTTATCTTTATCCGAGATGGCCGTTGGGGACACGGATGAGATCACGGTAGGATGCAAGGAGCATCTTGCCATGATATATATTGAAGAATCTAGGCTTGAAGAAGCCTTCTTCCATCTTCAAGACGTACTAGAATGGAAAAAAAAATATGATGGAGAGGAGGATCTGAGCACAGTACGAGTAATGCATGACATAGGGAACGTCCTTAATCAGCTAGGAAGGGCTTCGGAGGCAGAGCCCCTCCTTCGAGATGCTGTTCGACTGAGAACTAAGGAACTGGGCACAAACCATGAACGTACGCAAGAGAGCGTTAAGGCTCTATCTTCAACATTAGCTAAACTTTGGTTATCAGAATAGATGATACAGACCTTTCGCTCTGTTTCATATCAGCTCGGTAGAATCTAATCTTCTTATCATAGGGGGGGGGGGGGAATTGTTGATGCTTTAGTTGGATGAAGCAGAATGCGAAGCACGGTAACTGCGGGAGCGTTTGCGTAGATACATTAGCTGGTCTATCAACGATGAACGTCTAGCGACGATGATGGCATGCAGATAACAGCCCTCATGTGTATTCTAGTTGACAGAATATTTGCCTAGGCCAGGAATTTGCACGAATAATTAATATCGGAGATCCTGACATCAGCTATGAGGGAATTGCATTGATGGAACACAAACGATCACGCAAGGATCCCAGTGTTACCATCCCAAGACGCAGAGATAGCCAGATAGACGAATATGATTCGCCTGTGCCACAAAAATATTGAATTCTGCATGCCCGCGGATGCGCTCGCCATCAGCTCGGGGGAAGCCAGCCAATCACCTTGTCAGGCGATTTCAGCTACGTTCTTGGCTACAACTCTACCACGACATGTCAGCGAGGCTTATTCACCTCTACTGTCTCTGTAAGGAAGGTGTGATGGCAGCTGAAGGGAGAGGTGGTCTGAGCCGAACTTGCTTCGGGATGAAGATAAAGCTAAATAGCTTACGCTGAATGGATTTATCCACCTACGGCCACCCCATTACCCAGGTCATTTTTAAAAGAAAAAATCTTGAGAAAAAGAAGGTATATCATTCTATCAGGATTCATTATGCGTACTCGTACTAGCTTCTTACTGGCGGCTATCTCACTCGCTCTGGCAGCACCTTCTCCTCCACCCCAACCGAGAGATACAAATCCCCGTGT